GCCAGTTAAGAGGTTATCTTATGTGATCTTGTCATGGCAAGAAATTTAGAGATCTTGGGATCTGCTACTGCACCTAGAAAGCATGAACTTTGATCAGTGTTCGTACATCCCCACAATCAGTGATTTATTTATCTAAATCTTCTCTACGATAATATTTTTTATTTTTAGAGAAGTATAGATAACCCTCCTCATTTATCAGGTGCACCCTGTGTGGTTATCATAATTGTATACCCATAGAACCGATGGGTCTTATCATTCATTGTTTTTAATTGCTTTTGAGGTGTCAAAGTTCTGATAATCGAGTGTAACTTTTGAGATGACAATTATTGAAGTATTTATTCAATATTTTTAGGTTCTATTTTTACTGAGTAACTGGCATTACCCTGGCCGCCTGTCGCCGTTAGTTGCGCAGGTTATCTAATTTAAGCTTTTACCAGATCCTTTAAACAATTTTCTTGAAATAAGTAAAACAGCAGGTGAGAGTAGAAAATGCTTCTCTGATATGAATGTTTGGTTGCGATGGCTCAGTATTATGTCTTCTTGAAATATTTTTTCTGATGTTTTAACTATTGTTTCTAACGTATTTAAGAATGCTCTGATGTAGATATTTGTAAATCAAGTTAACTTAACAGTGATGAGCTTAAATCATTTGATTTGATTATGATATTTTATAGTTCAGGTTTTGTGCATACGCTGCGTGTAGCTGGCCATGGAGAACAAAGATATGTAGTGAAAAGTCAGTCCAAAACGTATTGTAATATACAGTTCTTAACTGCAAGAGTACTTTAATGCTATCTCTAAGACGACTCGCATTCCTTTGATACCGTACATACAGAAGAAACTTAAAATTTGAGCCTCCGTCGGTAATCTCTATCTTTGGTTTCAACTGTAAATAATGTTAAAGAGAGATCATGACTTTCTTTTGCTTTGCAATTATGAAGTACAGCTGAACCTGTGTTAAGTGGTCACCCACGGGGAATTGTGGGCTGATCACTTATGACAGGTTCCACAGAATAGGGGTATAAAAACGATGAAAAACGTTATTTTATGCCATAATTGACCACTGAATGTACAAACACTGGCTCAAAAAATACTTCTAACCCTGATGTCTGGAGATAAACATGAATTAGATTTCACATGATAGATCATTCTTAGTTTTATTTGAGTGGTTCCTCTCTCAGTGACCGTTTAATATAAGTGGCAGGCAAAACCGACCGCTTATATAGGGTGACCGCTTAATACGATGTACTTAATGATGTACAGTTTCGACTGAATCTACTCAGAGTATAACTTTGTATTCCTGTTTAGTTTTGGTTTTTCATATTGGGCACGAATAGCCGTAATTATCCGGTGTGTTAAAATATAAGCTCGAGACTGTCGTTAGTGTTTTAATGATAAGCATACTTAAACACAGGTTGTGTAATGATCGGGAAATTAAGAATGCAGAATTTCTAGCTCATTTGCAAACGGGAAAATCCGTTTATTGACTGCTGAATTTCAACCATATGAGTGACGTGTGTGCTATTCAAACTTTATGTTCTGGATTAAAGTATGAACAATTTTTTCAAATGGCAACTGCAGTGGAAGTAAAAAGTTTAAATTTGTGTTCTTTGATCAAATGACAGCCTGAATAAGCTTTCAAACAAAAGATGATAACTAGTTTAAATTAGGTTCGAAGGTTCATGGAATTTTAATTACAAGAGGAGGTTCCAATGGCTGAAAAAGCGTACGTAACAGACTATTAACCCCTATCGTCAGCCATTTAGATCTTATACTTTCCAGATGGTACGGAGTTTGAAATCTAAAATCTGTTAATATTCCCTTCTTTAGTTGAGCAATGAGATTGAAATTTCTATTGGCAGATAATTTACCTCACAGAGTTGACAGAAAGCGAGGTCAAACAAATTCAGTTGTTAGTGAACTCGGCTGATAATTTTTCCAAATTCAACATTCTGATCGGATAGCTTACGTAGCTGCCTTCGATCATCACGTGCTGATCGAGTTGAATAAAACAGGGGTTTTTACCGCATAACAAGAAAAGTAGAGAAAGTGAAAAAAAAAACCTTTTATACTGTGAATTGGACACTACATCACAATACCTTTCGATAACCTGCTTACTTTTCATCTGTGAGAGTTAAACTTAGCCGATAGAAATCTATATTTTAGTTTCTCATTTATTTTTTAAAAGAATAACCTACTCTCAATACGGCAAATGTAAGTTACTGTTTGTCCGTGAAGAAATGTAAAATGGTTTCCGTGTTTACATAGCCTGATGTAAACACGCGGGAGGTTGGGAAAACTCGAGATAAGCGTAAACCACGACGCGAAGCGGAGTGGTTTCCAGTTTATCGAGTGTTCTCCCAACCTCCCAAGTGTTTACATCAGGCTATGCAAACACGGAAACCATTTTACATTTCTTTACAAAATAACTAATGAAAGAGGAATGAAAACCGTGTTTACATACGCTCATGTAAAATGGTTTTATGGCCAATCAGAGCGCGCGTACTATTTTAATTATTTTATAAAAGAATATGATGATAGATTATTCTCCTAGCAGGAGTTTTCATGCATTTTGCGCCAATGGTTAGCTCTGATTTGTGGACTGGAAAGCCTTTATGACGAATTGGACCCTTACATCTTTTACATGTCATTAATTTTATTTTTGTTAACTAAAAAGGAAAGCTTCAATAACGCTGCAAATTGAAGAAAATAAGAGGATCGTCAAAACTTTTTTTTTTTTTTTTTTTAGTTATAGCACATAAAACCAAATGAAGGATGTTTCTGAGAGGCTGTGTTGTCCATTAAAATACTTTATTATATCTAAATAAACAGGAAAAAAGTGCGAAAGCAATGACCAAGAAAGGAAATTTGTGTCATAAAATAGCGACACCATTTCATGCCTAAAAAATTGGTTATAAATATTTGTGTTCATGCCCAGCCCACGGAAAAAAGGGTTTTATTAAATTAGAGAAACGCACGCCCCTAACCCGATGTATACCTTCACTTGTCAAAACGCTCCGCTTCCTCTGATCTGTGGTCTCCACATCTAATTTTAATACAATTCGATGGGCTGATTTACGATTCGTGCGTTAAAAATCTGACCCTGAATCTATATGGAAAGTCTCATATACAGCATGTTTTAAAATCCCGTTCTTTGGCGTAGGTATTTGTTAATTCTAGATTTGTGCTTACGTCTTGAGTTTTTTCAATCGTTACTGAACTCATTATAGTCTCGGTCCTTTGAGATACCCGTGGCGCGTTTGCACGTCATGAAAAATTTTTCTGACGTAAGCGCTCCATTTCTGAACTTTAACTCAAAGATTTTTCAAGACTCCGCTGCCACTCATTTGAATACAGAGTAAGTGCAGCGAATGGTAAATAGACGTGAGTCGTGCGAAAGTCAGAGTCTCTATCTCAAGGTAAGGCTCGCAGTTACCTACTCTGATTTGCTGATCGAATGAAATTTAGTTAATCTTGTTGTAAGCTGAATTGCTTTTTGGATTCTTCTTTACCCGCCGGGATGAAAATATTAAGTCTGGAATGCTTGCGAACATACTGCAAGTGATATAGGCCGCATGAATTTTGAAGAATACTTGCAGAACTCACTTACCTCCGGGCTGCCATTCATTTTAATATCGCTGCAGATTTCATCTTGTATAATTTTCTGTTATATCAGGTGCAATTTTTCTTGGTTGTTCTTCACGCAAATTCGCTCCCAAATTTACTTATGCATGCTCCAACAATTACGAAACAAACGAATTTTTGAGTTACGTCTTAAATTGACTTATGTTTAATAAATCAGTCAAACAACTCGTGGGCAATTGCTTATGTCTGTGTTTATATATCAGTCGGTTGGGTGAAAACTTCATTTGTTGATGGTTAAACTTGATAGAGAAGCTAATGTCTATATGTCTGACATCTTCACGACAACAAAGGTTGTTAGTTCACCTTGAGTGCCTAACGAATTGGATTTTAAACCTACTTGAATAATTAGTGTTTAGTGAGTAATTAGTGAAGATAATCGTGTGTGCAGCCACCATATCATTTAAGACGATTTCTATCTGTCTGTCTATATTGTAAATTGGCCACTGAAGCGAGTTTTAAAGCTGACATTTCGCGCGTCAGCCCTTCGCCAGAGCGAGTAGACGAAAGGTTACCACTCGAAATATCAGCTTTAGGAACTCTGCGGTGGCCCAATTGCATCCTCAACTCAGTTCATGAAACAAAATTGGCTTGTTGACAGACTGACTAACTTACTGACAGAGAGGCCGTCCGAGTGACTGAGTAGCTGCCTGATTGACCAGCTGAATAACTAAGTGGCTTACTGACAACTGAATCATTCTGGCTCTGACTGGCGGACTGTTTGTTCATCCGTCGCGAGAACGTTTTTATAAATTTTTTCCCCGTTAGATTGCTAGGGCGGTTCCAGGATGTACTGAACGGGGCTCGGCTAAACGTCTGCTGAAGGGAGACTATACAAGGGGTCGGGGGCATGCTTCCACCAGAACATTTTGAAATCTAGATCCTCGGAAAGGTAATATCCAGGGTTTTTTGAGCCGATGATTGTGGTTAATGCCATTGAAAACAATCTCTGTTTTGAGCTATTTTAAGCATATACTGTGTCCATCAAACTCGACAGAAACCGCACGTGTTGAAATGTTTTTCATTTCATTGTAGGGTGTTCGGCCGAACCACCTGAACCAATCCTGGATCCGCCCCAGAATTGGGAGTTATTGTAATAGTACGTTCAGGTGAGCTGTCGCAGCCAGACACTGCGCAGAGCTAAAACAGCTTGCTAATTAATCGGTTTGCTAATGCCATAATGACATTACTGTGGTAAGGTATAATATCAATTTTAGCATTAAGTTATGTTTGCACTTTTGTTTTTATCATGTTTCGTTTTCCAGGGATTTCAAATAATATAAACTAAGTGGATCACTTTGTTAACAGGAAGCTAAGAATGGAGACTGTAAACTTGATGTATCTGTTGGATCGAGGGAATGCTGAAAATTTTAGAACTGGTGTGTAAAAATATTCACCGTGGAAATGTTAAATTCAATGCTGATCCTAGCAATTTCATTGCCTCTCAGCAGTACGATTTCTTCATGAATCGTATTATTTTTTCTTCCGAGTTGTTTCTTTTTCTCAGCCAATGAAAATGAAAGCCAAAAGCAAAACAACCAATCAGATTACAGATTTCTGTAATGCAATAATTCACAAATCAGTTTTTTTTCTCTATTGTTACAACTACATCAATACAATTTTGATACAGACCAAAGTCCTGTATTCAGCAGTCAAGTACATTGAGTCTTCAAACTGGCCGTATCTGTTGTGGCATTTTTAACACATTTGAAGGCAATTTTTGAACGACAATACCACTCTTTGGAATCTTAATCATATATGCATAATAATGGTGGAGATATAAATCACAAATTTTGTGAAACTCACCTCTGCCATAAGAAGGAGTCTGTTTGAATTTTACTGGAAAAGAGGCTCAAATAGAGAATGAGCGAAATTCAATGAGGAGGTGAATTAGCAGCCTGTGTAACTGAAGGTTTTGTAGAGGTCTTCGGCGACGGAGCTGCGATTGGAATGGAAGCTTTTTTTTCTTTCACGGCCACCACCTTCATTTTCCCTGAATGCCCAAAATACACCTGTTACGCCGACTAAAAATGATAATTTTCAAGCAGCACTGTATGGTTTTATTACCTGAGCACAACTCAATCTTGAACCTCAAAGGGCGGAATCTATCGAAGACATCAAATTGGTTCGCTTGTCTTGAATCCAGCAAATTAACGCAACGATTCTTTTTTTTTTTTTCTGTTATAAATCATGCTTTCTTAATTTCAGGCCCTTCTGTCAGCCGCTGTCGCATGTACTGCTCAGTACCACAAGGATGCAGATATATCAAACCTGCCTGAGTGGCAAACAAACAGGTTAAGCCTGTTCTATGTAGTGTTTATCACCGGTCTTGTGACTGCTATTTTCCTGTTTGTCAGCTTTCTGTTTAACTTGGATAAGAGATGTGGATCACCAAAAGGATTTACATTTTTTGTAAGTACTTAAATCCATTTTGTTGTGGGACACAGGCTGTGAAATGGGTAGCATACTTTATGCCTTAACAGAAGGTGCGGGCTATGACAAAGGACTATTGTGCTGAGTTCCTAGGTAAGAAACTCAATTCTCACTATGCTCCTCTCCAATTCGGAGAACAGACGACTACCAAAGGATTTTCGGGGAGATACGACGAAATACCGGGTTTAAATTTGATGGCCTGGCATCCAACTTAAGGGAGTAGAGTTGCCCATGGTCTTTTCATGCAACAGAAACCGGCAGCAACCATTCGACAGCTATGCTTTATAATAATAATAATAATAATAATAATAATAATAATAATAATACTTATATAGCGCCGATATCAATACTGCCATTTTCATCAGCTTGCGGGTGGGTTTCCTTTTACTCTGACTCTTTCACTTCCATTAATGACCTAAGAGGAATTTTGTCGTTCATTGTAAAGCACAGAGATGGCGAGAAGAAATAGAAATATTAACAAGGGATTTTGTTCCATTTGATACTCATTTCTCAAATCTTGAAGTGTAAGAAATGCGTCGCAGCTAGCGCGAAGAATCAATACCTATATCTTGGTATTGATGGGGTAAGATAGGTGAGGGCTAACAGGGGACAACTGTTTGGGCGGTGCTTCCAGCCTGTGCGAGCTAAACGCAAATTGTTTCTTTAATTAAAACAAAATGGATGCGGTTCATTTTACAGGCTAAACATCTTCATTTCTGTCGATTTTTAATCTGACTATACGAAAAGTACTAAGTTTCTCGAGACAGTTTCCAAGCGTGTCGATGGCCTAATAAAGTTTATATAAAAACATATCCGAGCCATCCTCTGGATCTGCCACTGAAATGTCTGTGCCGACTAACTAAAGTATTCTCGACCTTGAATAAATCCTTAATATATTCTTAATGTTTTGCTGCTTTTAAGGTGACCTTGTTCTCACTGACCTGGGCTGTATTCTGTGCTGTTTCGTCAGGACTGTTCGGTGAAGTGGTGCTCAGTCTTCAGGAAGACAAATGGGATACATCAAAGAATGAGCGCATTCAGTGGCGCTACCAACATGCTCAAGCAGCTGTGGTAAATATTGTAGACCAAGGGCGTGGCAAAGGGAAAGTCGGGCTGAGGTGTATATCGCTGACCCTCTTATCTCTGTATCTAGAAAAAATTGATAATTTATGAAATCATGGTCTCTTATTTGATAAATAAACGATCTAGCCCCCAAGAAGCTACTAATCTATCCCTTTAAAGGATATAAATATTGTGGTATACTTACAATATTATTTCTCAACACGTATCGATGTTCCTGAGTTTCGCAGGCATCTGATTTCTTAGAGTTTATTTGAGTTCGTAGTGAGTGGACTACAAAGCAAAATTTTCACTGTAAAGAATCCAGGCGGTGGGTTAACCGCCTTTTTCAGATGGAGGAACAAATTACTTTGGCGAGCTGGTCATCATGAAAGGGGGCTTCGTGTGAGTTGTGATTTCCGGGAAATTGTTTTATATTACCTCAAAGCAGAAAAATGAAATTCCACTTTATGAAAATTTCACCGGGCCCACCATCACGTTCACGGATTTGGTTAAGCGCTTAACTGATCAGTCGTTCATCCCTGCTAAGTGTCTGGTACCACCAACACCCATTTACAGGTTATTCCCATATAATAGTTTGCAATCTGAATGTATGTATCCTCAACTTGTACTTCAGTCTTAATGTTGTCTAATTTATTTAATTTTTTTTCTTCTTTGCTTTTTAGATTATTGGTTTTCTGTCTTTCCTGGCGTTTCTTGTTGACGGTATACTTCACTATCGAATCACCAGGTCAACCCAGTGATGAAAAAAATAACAAGAATCAAATTAGAAAATTAAACCTAGTACAGATAAGATAATGCAACCCCCTAAGCAAGCAATGGTAGTTCCATCTCAGCTTGCTTGCTTAAGCTATGCAACAAACTTCTCAGTTTCCTTTCAGCCTTGCTAATCAAATATCACTCACGGAAGTCCATTTTAATAATCAATGAGAAAAAAATCACACAGACTTCCGTTTGATTTTTCGTATAAACATAACTGTAATTATGCAAAATAAGCCTTTCTGAAGTTTTTTTTTTTGAGCGGTCATGACATAGATCAAGCTTACAATTCCTTTGCTTCCAGTTCGGAAATGAAAATTACAAGTATTTATGTGCCACGTCCTTCTCTTAAAATAGAAAAAAGTAAGATAGAACCAAGCGGGTGGAAAGTCTACCGACAGGACAAAATAATAAAATGTCAGATTCAATATTCAAATTATTTTGCTGTCGTAACACATTTAGCAGTACTTTCCTTCATTCGGCTTCGTGTCTCCTAAAAATTTTTGCGCCGTTCCTGATCTATCAAATCCTCGTTGAACTATGAGATCAGGGTGATTATAGACCACTGAGTTTTTGCTGTAAATAGAATGACGATTTGAGATTTATTATTTGGTAGACACACAATATTCAAGGCATGTTTCAACACGACCGTTTTCTTTGAGAGGTAATGTATTTTTCCGAAAACAATACGCTCCAAACTCAACTGCAAAGATACAGTCGAACCTATATTGAGAGGTCACCCACAGGGGAACACGGGGTGACCGCTAAATACAGGTAAACCGCCTAATACAGGTTCCACGGAATAGGAGTATTTTCAAAAACGATAAAAATCGCTATTTTATGCCATAATTCATCACTTAATGTACTAAAACTCTCTCAGGAATACTACCAAAATTGATTTCGGGAGATAAAATCGGATTAAATTTTTACTTGGAAGATTATTCTTAGTTTCATTTGAGTGGTGTCGCTTTTAACGACCGTTCAGTTCAGGTGAAGGACAATACAAAGGGGCTGTTGGGACTCAGTCAAAGGTGAAAATTTCAATAATTAAAGGTAGCAATTTCGGGACTTTGAAAAGCGACCGCTGATATGTACAGGGTGACCGCTTACTAAGGTGCCGCTTGATACAGTTTCAACTGTATCTCTTGCTGTAATGCTTTTCAGTTACGAAGAAAGAGGTCCTGGCGTTGTTGTTTCTGACTGGTCTCAATTCTCTTTTGCTTTAAATGAAGTCGTTCAAGTCACTGAAAACATCTGAGGAATCTCTTATCTTAAATAGTTCAGGTTGTTGACTAAGTGGACAATATCCTAACAGACATCTGAGAAATTTACTAAAACTTAAAAAAATTCTTGTTTTCTCGTTAGCCCTCGGTCGAAAAGCTTAAGTCGGTTAGTTTAGAGAACTCCTCATTTTTGCTAAAGGCTACGTAAAGGATGAAAACTAAACCAATATAAAGTTTTTCCTAGCGTAAATGAGACATATCAGCTATCCACTTGATGACAAAAAATGTTCCTCGTCTCGTACAGCGGGTGGCAATTAAGCCGCAGTTATAGCTAACATAAGCCCCTTATAGGATAGAGAAACTTAAGTTTGACGCCTCTAAACGGCTAAAAAAACGAAATTGCTGTATTTATTACTAAGCAATTCGTAGGGCCATGAAGCATTTCTAGATAGTTGGGTGAAACATGGCCGGAAAACCGAAGACTGTTTCCCCATAGCTTAAGGCAGTCTTGACGTATTTCAGTTTGCTTTTCTGATTAATCCACTATCGCGTCCTCCCAAGTTTGTACACTCCTAGAGTACTCCTCATTTTTGCTAAAGGCTACGAGAAGGATGAAAACTAAACCAATATAAAGTTTTTCCTAGCGTAAATGAGACATATCAGCTATCCACCTCTTTCAAAATCAAACTAAACAACAAAACATTTCTTTTATGAAAATAGCACGCACATTTCAAACAAAAAAAAAGATCTTAACTGCAAGATCGATTGATTTTTAATTTAAGGGTAAGACGCATAGTCGAAAACAAAGGCAGCTCGATGTTTATCTACAGAGACCAAAATTTTCGAACTGAGACAAAAAATATCAGTAAAGCGAAATGATAAATCAACTCTTAGTGAAACAAGAAGGGTTTCGGGTTTCGAGTGTCAAGTTGAAATAATTGATGTCCAATGTCATGATGTGTCTGAGTCAGAGAATTCTTCGGTGGACAGTTATTAATTGCCGTCTAACCTTTTGGCTTGGGTGTAGCAGGTTTAAATCGTATTTATCGCACTCGAAGCCATACGATATAAGAATTATCTGACATGCATATGGTTTTACTGAACTCGCTGGCTCGGGTGAAGAAATAAAGATGTCAAATCAAAGTGGCCATGACAACGAATTTTCACAGAATTGAAAAATGGTACGGAACGAAAAAGGTCTTTCTTGGCGCACCAAAACGTTATTTTAACCCAAGTAGTCATTTAGTCAAGCCTTTTTTGATACACAAAATATTACAAGATAAACAAACAATCGAAATTTAACTCGTAGTTTAAATGTCACGTAATTATTACAATCAATTTGAAATCGCATTTTTTTCATTGTTTTTTAAGCAAAGATTCTGCGACAAGAGTTGCACAATTCGCCACAAAATGGCTTGTCGAGTCTTTCATTTTCATTTTGCTGCAAACTATTTGGTTACTTTAAGCCAGCCATGAATTCTGATTGATTTTTTTAGTGTTCCATTTTCAATGGCTGGAAAAGGCATGCGATTAAAACGCAAAATAGAGCGATTCGTGTGCAAAATTGCACTGCTATAAGCCAAACAGATGTAGATTGCCACAGGAAGGCAAGGATCACCACTGATTTCAAAGTGATGTGATAAATAAACAAATGTAATTTCACAAAGCTACTATTATAATGAACCTCTCCTAAAAATTAGAACTTTTAAAATCATTTTTCTCTTTATCAACATAGTATACCAATACGATTCCCAAAAATTGTTTAAAAAAATGATGCTTATGCTTAAGTTGGCGTTGTGAACGTCTTCGTTACCCTGACTCCAAAGTTAACACAGTGCTAATGATAATCGGGGGCTTTTTTCCTCCATCAAGTACCAAAACTGTTAGAAACGGAAACGCCGAGGATGCAGAAAAAATTCCTTAATCTGGGATAAAACCACTTAACTTAACGATAAGAGAGTTCGTAAGCAACACTGACCGACAGTGCGAATTCCGTCCGGAGGAAAGCTCCATAAATTAACCGCTGAAATATTCCTCTCTTTTCTACCACTTGATTATGATACTTTACCCATTAGCAATAGCCCTGAAAGTTGCTAAATAACATTGGTTACATTTGTCATTTTTGATACCTTGAGAGTAAAACATAACTGATTTATAAGGGACTAGTGGTCTCACTTTTCATTCAAAAACATATTTTTACAGCGAACTATATATTTTATGAGGACTAAGATCATCGAAGTTTATTATGTACACAACTAGAGAAAATTTAACAAAATTAAGATTTTATGGGATGCGACTCTGACAAAACACGCAGTGCTTCTTCAAGCCATTTGGAAACCGGTTATCATGCGAGTTCGTAACATATCGGTGGAGGATGAACACAGTGAAGGGAATGTTGGAAAAAGATACCTCTGACCTTCTGAATAAAGACTAACATTTAAAAAATGCGAATGGCTGGTAACTCATAACTGTAGTGACCTTTCATCTAATCGCTATTCAATTAAATTTTACTCTCAACTATTGCGAGGAGGAACGCCAAAAGTTGCGTTTAGCTGATGTCTTAGATGGCTTGTTTCAACTCCGTCAACTGTCGAATTAAAGACGATTTATGACCCATTAAGAGAAGAACAGGAGAAACACCCCCCAGGTCTAAGGTTTCATAGCTTGCGACATTTACGAAATTGCTTACAGAGCAAGAGCGACAATTTCAAACAGGCAAACTATGGAAGAAAGAACCCTGGATGCCGTTCTACGCTATTCATGAAAATTCAGTGTCCGAAACTGTTACTTAGCTCTTGTACGAAGTGGCAAAGCGGAAAGCACGTCCCGTTCGAGGATTGCATTGTGTTAAAACCACTCTGCATTGTTCTTTCGCCATTAAAATATTTCTCAGCGCCACCAAGGTGCATTTTCCAGGTTGTTTATGACAAGCGAATGTCCTCTCAGTAACATGTACCGCGCTTGCAGCCCTACAATTTGCTGCCTCCAGACAGTGATCGATCATGATGTATGACTACAACACACCCGGCTCATACTTTCGAGCGTAAACAATGCGCCGCCTTTCCGGTTTTGTCGCTGTGACCCCTTGAGGGCAACAGATTTGCGGATTTTGCGGATTAAATTTGTAATCATATTACAAAGTGAAGATCTATGTGTGAAATCAGAGCCCAAAAACCCTCGCCGAGGTCGAAGCGTGGATCTGTAGAGAAGTGAAGAAGTAGAATTACCTCAAAGAGGTTAAGTTTATTATTTGAAGCTCACTCTTCAGGGCTGGAGTAAAATTCTTTGCGAAGATGCGTTGGACAATTTTTCTCGTGTTTGTTTTATATTTCACAGCCACAGAGGAAGCTATCGCAGGTAAGCTAGTCGAGTAGAGATTATTCACACTTTTCTATCCGTTTTCAAAGGTTTTGGTGTCGTTCAAGAGAGGGAAAATCCGTGAATTCTATAGCTTTCCGCAATGCATTTGAAATAAGTGCTTCGATACGCCGCCACGATTGAAAACAGGAATCAGGGTAGATTTCAATTCCACTTGACGGCAAAAAATGTTCCTCGTCCCGTACAGCGGGTGGCAATTAAGCCGCAGTTATAGCTAACATAAGCCCATTATAGGATAGAGAAACTTAAGTTTGACGCCTCTAAACGGCTAAAAAAACGAAATTGCTGTATTTATTAATACTAAGAAATTCGTAGGGCCATGAAGCATTCCTAGATAGTTGGGTGAAACATGGCCGGAAAACCGAAGACTGTTTCCCCATAGCTTAAGGCAGTCTTAACGTATTTCAGTTTGCTTTTCTGATTAATCCACTATCGCGTCCTCCCACAAGTACCAGTTTTGATTAATACCTCTATTTAGCTCTCCTAAATCACTTGTATTCTCACTGAGTTCGTATCCAAATGAGATGAAATCTGAAGTCGGGATTTTTTTCATGTTACAGCACGAGAATGTGCGGTTAACAAAATATTTGTGGGTCTTAATTCACTCTCTCCTTGCCAAGACTTTATTGTTAAATTATCTGAGTGATCTTAGAACGAGTAGAGTTATTTTTCGTTCTCTAACACTATCTCACTTTGAAATTTGTGGCATATAACTTTTAACGAGGAAAATATTAATGATTTATGTCCATGTAGGCAAGTTAGGAAAGTGATTGTTCGTTTCGTATAAACGCAGCTAGTATTGTAGTCTCGTCTTGCAAACTGAGCATTGACTCCCTTAACTATATTTAAATAAGTTAAAGTACACTTCTTCTGTTATAAATTATTGAATCATTTTCATTGAAGCCAGTGCGTAAATGGTGAAAGGAACCCGATAAGATATCTGTGATACACGTCAGCCAAACCATTCGATCAAAGTAACAAACCTGGGCCAAAATGCAAAATACAAACCCGAGTTTTAGTCAGTTTTAAATGGATCCAATCAAATTTAGTCGCAGATCGAAGTCCCTGGACTTTCTGTCTTGATCGGACATCTTTCACACGTGAGTAAAACTGAGTGAACCGTTGAAATGTTTCACTGCTGACAATACGAGCGTTTAACCTTCGCGGCATGCTTTTTGTTTAAGGGCGTTGTGGTGATAGTTTTCATTGATCATTCTCTTAACAACTTAAACTGGACAGAAATACAGCTCTTGCAGTATTATGGGTTAACAGTCGAAACTGAACATCTCTGCTTTGAAATGATACAAATGTACTGAAAGACCGCAGGAACAGCGGCACGAAAACAGATCCGAGTGAAGCTGTAGATGTACTTGTCGGTTACTTGTCTGAAAAGCTAATTGACACCAGACTAAAGCTTAAAATGTGCACTTTTGACTAATCAATAAACTTATTGAGGTTGTTGTGTGTTTCGAAAGAATAGCGATGATTTTTCCCACTAAATCGCCTGCATTGAGAGGAATAGGGTTCCAAAACGTTATAAGAAGACACAAAGAAATCGTGTAAAACGAGGGCTTTTGGTCAGCCCTCTATGTGTAATTAGCTTATCGCTTAATCGCAGGTATATGGGCGAAGTTTGGAATATTTCAGCTAGCTAACAACATCTTAGCTCGCAATAAAACTGCCAGTCCTCACTGAACGAAATTTACCTAATACCTCTAGAAACAACTGTTTCATTTCAAAATTTCGCTCTAAGAATGGCCGAAACTGTTGTGCGATGATTGCAGCCTTTGCACGGCCGCAGTTAGAAGAAACACAAAAACTTTCTGAGACACGCGTCGTCCTTTATCAGACAAAGTTTTAATCAAACGGGTCCTCTATGAAATACCCACCAGTTAAATCACTTTTAAGACGATTAAATCAGTTCACCAGGCCCTAGATGTTGAGCATTGCTCCCGTAAACAGGCCTCTTGTTCTGTGATCAATCGATCAGCATTGAGTTGTCGGCTGTCCAGAGTTATGAATAGCTTCAGACAGGTCATTATTTTTCATTAGCAGTTAATTAATTTACTTTTGACAGTTTCCCCCAGCTCGCTATTGTTGTAAAGTAAACACTCTGACTCGGAATTGAATACCCTCCAAGCTATGACCATCCGTTAACATAAGAAAGTAGGGGAGAGTGGCTCAATGGCATTGAGTGCCCGCGACAACTGTTCCCCAAATTAGCGAGGAGAAAATAAGAATTTTTCAAATCTATTACGGAAACTGTAATATTTAATTGAGAAAACATGTGTAGAAAGATCAGGTTTCTTCGTGGACCACTGATTTAGAAACACATCAGCGGTGACTGCCAACAATGACTGAAATTTAAGAATAAAGTACCCGTAGAAACCTTTATTTTTACGTCTTCTTTCTGTTGCTCTCACTCTTCCACAGTAATGATCTCGGCAGGAGCACTTATCATTTTGTAATTTTGCTTCTTTCCCAGAAACTTTCTTTAGCGTATCGATTTTGAAAACTTTCAAGCGGTAGTCTCTCATTACGTTGACAAAACCATTTTTAATTGGCGTTGCTTTGAAACAGAAGAGCAGTTATTCAACAATTAAGCCCTACACCTGCGACATTCTTCGCTTGCGGAACTGGTTTTGAGTAAGATAAGAGGAGTTAAACATATGGTCATCTGTGTGCAAACTGAGATAGGGTCACAGCAAAAATGCTAATTAGTCAGCCTCGATTCACATTTTTAGATGACTGCTACCTGACCAACTCATCACCGGCTTGTTCGCTCACTGACTCGCGGACTGACTGAATGACTAACAAGTAGACCATGCCACTGCCGGTGACTTTTACATCCCTCCTAAATCAAAAGAAGTAAGACGAGGCTTTCTATTTTTTTCAGGTTGCTCATCGCCTCTTGGCTTGGCGTCAGGCTCAATACATGACTCGCAGCTTTCGGCATCTACATCCATGAGCGACTGGTTGCTGCCGTCTGAAGGACGACTTCATAACAATTTGTGAGTATCATCAGCACAATAGTAAACTACATTCTGATTTGATGATGTTTTATACGATGTGGAGAGACTAAAGATACATTAAATGGTTCCAAAAGTCTGCACAACTAATTCAATACCTAAGAATTGCATCTGATTGGTTGAGGAAGTGGCGCGAGTCTTCTGGAGTCAGTGCAGCACGAAGCATGTTAGGCAAAACCAATGGAATCATGGATTACTTCCGGCACTCAATTGAAAATTTCTCTGTCGGGTATCCAATTCAAGTATGAAAAGAAATTACCCAATGTAAATAGAGCAAAAGCAAGAGTTGATTTAGAGAGCCAAAACGAACTTGCAACTATTTCTGGCGAAGGTGTCATGTGGCTCGATAAAACTAACTTTTCTGGCACAATAAAAGCAGCTGAACAGCAGCTGTCTTTTCAATACAACAGATTAATGCCTTAACATGATTTCATCCTAGAACGTCGAACTCATTCGGGGCTTGGTGTGCAGAAGACGTGGACTTGGATCAGTGGTTTCAAATTGACTTACAGAGGACAACAAACGTGTCAGCTGTAGCTTCTCAGGGAATTGACATCATTATGGCTGGTTACTGGGTGGCGTCATACTCTTTGAACTACAGTTGCGATGGAATCAAATGGCATTCTTATGCCATTCAAGGAGTACCTGTTGTAAGTAACAATAAGTTGCGAGAAACTCAGTAAATATGGAGGACTGGGACTAGCACGCTTTACTTCTGATAGACCTGGGTTCTAGTACTCTCACAGTATCTTTCCTTGTCGTGGAGTATAAATGGGCGTCGGCATTGTCAGGAAATCATAATGAGATTTTGGGCAAAAGGTCGGGAGGTGGTGATCTGCGATACACCAGCATCTTATTCATTCCAGGAAGAGTAGCAATAATCGTGGTCGTTTCACGCAATAAATGTTAGATAACATTCGGTTAAATGGGCCGCTTAGCTCGAGTACAGACTCAGTAATGACTGTGTTCGACTTTTTTTTTTTGCAGATATTTCAGGCAAATAATGATTCTGATAGTGTGGTAACGAACACGCTTTCACCTTCCATATTGGCTCGGTTCATTAGAGTGTTGCCCTTGGAATGGAATCAGCTGGAAACCATTTGTCTGAGACTGGAATTATATGGATGCGAAACAAGCCAAGGTAACAGGAAAAAAGCGAAGATCAATCCATTGGGGATTGGATCATCTACTTTTTAGAGCATAAACGGTGAATGGAAATTATTCGTCAAGGAAGGTCCTAGAAATAATTCCAACGGCCAATCAAGTTCAAAGTGAAAAACTCAGTGTTCCAACGAAGACCTTAACAAGCCGGCATAAAAATCATGTAATTTGGTGTTAACAACTGGGTTGAAAACGTAAATTAGCCACCGTAAAGGATAAAAAAGCTGACGTTTCGAGCGTTAGCCCTTCGTCAAAGCGATTTGCATCGCTCTGACGAAGGGCTAACGCTCGAAACGTCAGCTTTTTTACCCTTTACGGTGACTAATTTACGTTTTCAACCCAGTTGTTAACACCAAATTACCTGCTATACTCTCCCACCGACGCAGCACCACAGTTTCTTTAGAAACTTACCCCTTTATAAAAAAACATGACCAAGCGCAGAAAAATTTTGTGACCAAATTTTCTACAAGTCAGCGTTTTTTGTGCAGAAAAAACTGTTCTTTATATTAACCGACAAAAACATGATACCCTTCTATTTCAGCCTGCCCACACCCTACCAAGGCTACAATGTCACCAAGCCAGGCAGCAGCAGACTCTTCTTCAGTAACCAAGGCTCCATTAACTGGTTTACCTCCGAAATTTTCAACGCTGAGTTCTAAGACGGGGAACAGGTCACATAGCACTGACAGCCTAGCCACTGATACAAACACAATTCCCATCGGTAAGTTAATTGCTTCGGTGAAGTCCTCAGTAAATGCTTTTGGCGCTGTTACTTTTACTGACAACTTTTCACGGTCATCTGCTGAACTAACGTGAAATTATTTTCTAAAACGTCCGCTAGGTTGAACCAAATGCAATCTACACGGACCTGTTTGTAGAAATGATATGTTCTCAACAACACCGTGACGTATTGAAACATAAACATCTGTCCAGTGCTTTCTAATCTTGGGGTTTAACCAATCTATGAGGCTTCACAAAACTAGAGTTAACAGAAAATTGCTAAAAGAATCCCACAGTTCAATTAAAGTGCAATAATTCAAAAGTCAAGCTTGCATTATAATTTTCAAAGTGTCTGATTTATTTCTCTCACTACGATTCTCCACAGCATGTTCTTATGCCCTTGGAATGCAGTCTGGTGCGATTAACGAGTCGCAAATAAAAGCTTCCTCTTTCGACAGTGTTTGGACCCGACCATCGGAAGCAAGACTTCATAATCAGTGGTTTGTTAAATAATTTGTTACTTAAAAAAGTGTCTTTCGAGTTGCCAGTCGATCAGAATGTCTAGTTGGCATCCTTGGTTTGATATATTGAACCGGCTTATATATCAGGACTAAGTACCGGTAATTGATTTTTTTTTTTCAAAGTTAGCTCGTGCATTTATCTAAAAACTGATAAAAATCTTCACCAATGAAGTTATTGAAATGATAACGTACCTCTGAATGTATAAGATATTTACAGCGGGAAATCTCATTTGCTAGTAACCAAAAGTTTTTTTTAAAGTCTAAATCCAAAGAAATTGGAAAAATACTTAACTACTCGGAGTCAACTCTAATCATACTTATACTGGACCATAAGGTGGCTGAAGAAAAAGTCTTCTCCCCATGGATTGTAAGCTGCATGCCTGTAGGATATCCACGAAACTTTCTGATCAAGCTGTTCTCACTTTCCTCTTTACTTGCTTCTCTCCAGGAGCCTTAACCATAGATCGCTAGGGGGTTGGTGTGCAGCAGACGCGGATATGAATCCTTTCTTACAAGTGGATCTGTTAAACAACTCTATTGTCACCGCAATAGCCACACAAGGTGTCCCAGCAAATGGAAACATTGCGTTGAGGTACAAACTTAACTACAGCTGTGACGGGATAACTTGGTTTGAATATCAAGAAGGAACGGTGAGTGCTACTCGTGACATGTCTCAGTATAATCAAGATCATCTCTTGTGTCGTCAGTAAAACTGCCTTTGAGCTTACACTGTACCATTAAGATCAATTGATTGGGCATGATTAATGATCACAGTTTAGAATACCTCGTGTATTGTTTGGATATTCATGTGAAGAATGAGAGCACGTCCCTTAAGTTGAACATGTGAATCCAAATGCACGGTACCGCAAAATTTAGCCATGTCTACATTCTTCGAGATATTCGTAAAAGGGTTTGACGCTAAACAAGCTGCCATATCGGGATCATCTTAGAGCGGAGTAACGTGTCGAGATTTCGAGAGCAATCAGATAGTATGTGCAGATAAGAAAAACCAACACAATCCTGGATCCCTTCGACGCTAAATTGAAATATAGTTCTTCATAGGATATTGGTTTTTCCTACTCTTATCCTGCTTGGCCAGTAACGTTTTCAGTAACAAACTGTTTTGGATCATGTACTTTGACCGACACTCACATGACATTATTATCTCCTCAGATATTTGAAGGTTATCGCAAAAATTTGCGGGCTCGACAAAACAAGCTACCAGTGCCCTTTAGAGCTCGGCTCGTGCGAATTCGACCGCTTCTCTCCAGGCAGTACGAAATACCCTGTGTGAGACTAGAAATCTATGGATGTAGCATGGCTAATTCCGGTAAGTGTAGCACTTATTTTCTAGTTACTGGTCAATAACATCGCACAAGGGAGTCATTTCAAATGTTACTGTCTTTTCAAATACACTGTGCATCACCTATTATTTAAGGAAACAGAGGGAAATTGCTTTTTCTCAATGAATTATGACCCGTCTTTCTTTCTTTTAGATAAGACAGAAAATCGACAAAAAGTTATGAAAATTATTCAGCTAAACGAACTCACCATGAGCTTTGAAGATAAATCAATAAATTAAATAATTGAGCAATCAATCAAATTTTTTCTTCCCAATTAATGGATCATTAATCATTCAATAAATCAATTGAACTGGCAGTGAAGAGTATTTTTAGATTCATTGTCCTAAAATCTAACCCAAAGTAATCACAGCGGCCAATCAGAAAGGAGAATATCCCATGAAGTCGAGAAGTCAAGTTTGTATCCGATTGGTCAAAAGTGTAAGCAAAGTTTTGTAGACTATCCGCTGCGCGTAGTGAAGAATCGATGCCATTCCGATATAAGAGCGAAAAGTCTCACTTTTTCGAGTAAGTTTTTTTAAGAGAGATAAGTATTCAAGGGACTTAACTCACCAGTTACCGATGATTAATGGTTGAATTTATGACTTCTTTTTGACGGATGTGTCATGGTTGTTCATTGTTGTGTTCATTTTTCAGTTTGTGGAACGAAGAATCAACTAAACACCACGATAAATCCAGATCAACATTCCACACAGGATACCAAGGCCCGAACAACACATAAGACAACGTCAAGACTGAATCTAAGGCCTACAAGACCAAAGGACATGATTGTAATTGTGCGAGATCATCCAAGTAACGACTCATTAGGTTATAACTTTATGCCCTCTTCAACAGAGCAACGTCACATTTTCAGTTTATCACTTCCTCTAACTCTAAGTTTTCTCCTCGTAATACTGACTGAGTGATTACTAATGACAGATTCCTGATCAACTTTCTTTCGGAACGGTAGAAACCTTGTGAAAAAGTATGTTAATCAAGAACTGGAGGCGGGGGTCTGGAGGTGTGTGGACTGAGTAGCGTCACAAGCCAGAGAAAGTTAACTAGAGTCTGGCGACTGCCAACATTGTAGATATTTCCGGTTAATAATTTAAGCCTGCTACGTTAGCGTGGAAAGGAGATGAAGGGGGGAAAATTCGCCTAGCCTGCGGAACAGGCGTAATTTTTTTTGCGTTAAGCAGGCGAACGGAGACAAGCGATAGGCGAGCGCAAAGTGCGGGTGACGAGCGAGGGAAGGAGTGCGATTCTTCCTTTATTATGCCTTACCTCCGATCGACAATTCACTCGAGCGTGAAGCACAATTCCAACGATCCAGCTTTACGCTCTCTTCGCATTTCATGCGAAAATATCACTTTCCCCTCACCCTCCCCTTTGGGCACTAGATCTGCCGGCTAACTAAGATAAGAGCTTACGTTTTAGCTTTATGTAAATACTAAAATTGCTCGGTAAAAACAAATTTAAGTCGATATTATTTATTGTTGTAAAGCGTACCCTTCTTGCTTTTACTCTCATTGGTTACAAATGGGTGAATATTATTCACCGTTCGACGTAATGGGCTCCTGTCGCTCGATCACTCTGATAAACAAGATAAACAAGAAACTATGTTCCGTATTGATCGGAAATTAATTGACTGAATTACTCTTATATTCAAAACACCAAGACGCACATAGGAAAGGCAGAAACGTGTAGCTTTGGCGTCATGTCGAAGTGTAAAAATCTGCGCTTAAATTTAATTGCTTCCAACTCTTATTAAGGGTGAATAGCAGCATCACAATTTCGAAAACAACAAACCCCCTTAATTCAAGAGTACCTCGGAAATTTTTAAATAAAGAGTATTTTTCAATTCTGAATCGTGACAGATTTATTATCACGCCATTTTGTTACAAAGCTCAACATCACATGGGGGTAAGAGCTGAAAGTAAAGAACTGATAAGAACTCACAATAAATTGAATCTTTAACAACCTCAAACGCGGGAAAACGCAGATGATCACGTTGGGATTGTTTTGAACATTACTTGGTCGGGGCACAGTGAAGCACAATAAACACAGTGAAGAAAACCGAATGCCATGGTCTAGAGTTAGAGGAGTGCTGATAAGCGTTATTACCTCTACTCAAAGAGTTTGACAAAAACCCAAGCCAAAGCGGGCAAAAGTGCTTCAGTAGCTCTCTGCCGAATTACGTGACTTCGGCTTTACGGTTTCACCGCACCTCTTCCAATAAGCGTCCACATCAAATAAACTTATGTTGGATGAAAATTGGGTGAGGGTATGAGACAGTCACTTTCAATAAAAGAAAGATGACGGGTAATACTAGTATATAACATAATGATACAAACGGTGACTGAGATGAAAAAAAAAGTGTAGGCCATGACTAAGCAATTGCCATTTTGCCGCCTATATATAAGTTTACACAGACAAACTACTAACCTTTTACACAAGATAATTTCACAACCCTCAAAAAGAAAGATCCTATTCCAAGACAGTATGATGGAGTTGCTCATGGCGTCTTTTCTGGCAAATCAAAACTATTTTGGTTATCAGTCGTATGATTACAGACCGTAGGTATCGGAAGGAATGGGCGGGAAACCGAAACATTACCGTAGTAAGAGGGTCTCAATGGGGAAGTGGCTTTTACGGTTAACAGTTAATTTTTTTCCATTACGGTTAACAGGAGTTGTTAAAAATTAATTGCTATTGTTCTAAGAAGTTAAATATTAAATTCCATTGTTGTAAAACATACCGAAAGTCTTTAGACCAATTTGAGATGAAAAAGTATTTTTGCGTGTGTATACATTCTCAGTGAACTATATAACTTTTATACTTTTATTGCAGTAGAAAAACATAACGAATACCAAAATAAGATAGAGTTTTAAATTACTTAAGGAAAATAAACTAGGAACGATAGATCCATGTACATGTATACTGTGTCACAATTATATTTAATTGTACGTGTTTGTTTGTTTGTAAATGGCAACAATTCTATATGAATCACAAGGCTTTAATTAACAGGTTTGTATGGCCTGGCTTACCATTTTGCGCACGTCTAAACATCAAACCTTGTCCAGACCTTGACTTGTCTTCCAGACCTTGTCATTATTGGCTTACCAATAACCAGTTCTTCTGACTCAATATCGACATCATTGTCACTGTCATCCGAATCGCTCTCGTACTCCTCCACCTGGTTGAAATCTGCATTTGACGCGAGGGTTAGCTGTGGAATTGTGGCATCGCTAACGAAACTCAACACGGACACATCGGAAACAACAGAGCGCATCTCAGAGGAGGCAGTGGACGTTTGTTCAACTTGGTCAGCTGGAAAGAAGACCCTTGCAGTAGCATTAGGATTTGCATTTGAATACACTGCCGGAGGAAGAGCTCCTGCCTTATCTTTAGTAGTCTCGCTCCTCACGGTTCTTTGACGCACAGGACGGTATTTCTCCAGCCAATCTTTCATAGTCTGTTCCTCCCCTTTAGAAAGCTCATCAGAAGGAAGTGGAGTCATAAACCTTACATCCTTGAACGACATTCCAGTCTGTGGCACTGGATAGTATGAAGATGGATGTGTAAAGTATTTCGCCCCCCACTTCGTTATTCGCTTCAACGATTCCTTCGATATAGTGCCGAAGTCCGTGGCATATTGAAGGGCATCAAATGTCTCGTGTTTAAAATGCGAAACCGCGTGTAAATTCTCTACTATTGTAGTATTTTGGCCAGCCCGAAGGGTAAGTGAAAATAAAAATGACGAGTGCAAATGTACAGCAATACCGCACAAAAATGTATAATAAGAAATTTATCTAACGATGTTCCATGATTTTTTTTTAAATCGTCCGCGCGCTCAGCTCAATATGAACACGGAACCTGTTAAACCGGTCTTGGATGCATCACAAAAACCAGTGCGCTGTGTACATGTACAACAAATTTAGTGGTTCAAGTTCCAGACCCCCCACCTTGGTTATTAGTCGACGTGCTGTGTTTTTAGATACGACATTGGCTCTTTCCACCCGGCGAATTAGATGCTGAGGGTAACTCTGAGATGAACGAGGAAATCCTAGTAGTTCCTTCATGCTAAGAAATCTGACATAAGCATACGTATGGTGGGAACAGAACTAGAACGCAGAATTTTCCTTTTACATGGAATGCTATAAAAGCCTCATATTTGACTGCTACGAGAAATTCAGCCATGTGAAAATAAATAATTACAGGAAATCCCCAAATCCTTGATCAAAGACAGGTTTGTACTTTTATAGAGTTCTGGACGTTTTCTTCGCTTATACTGAAATATTTGCCGAAGCTATTGTTATATTAAATTTTAATATACTGTACCTGCATTTAGCGCACGTAGCTCACTCTGTTGACGATCGGTTCGCACAGCTATCGCATTATCTTCTTTAAGTTTCTTCACAAGCGCTCTTTCCTCTTTTGCATCTTGACGTGATTTCCTTTTAGTTGGTGATTTCGATTCTTCCTTTGGGTTCTGGGGGTTGCTTCTTTTGACATTGTCATCTTGTCGTTTAACCGCCACGACAGGGTTCTTCCCCCATTGAATGACTGACTGTATCACATGAACTGAAAAAAAGATGATTGAATTTTGGTCAGAATTGTATGAATTAAGGTGACCCGCGTTGTTTGCCAGCTCGACTGCACAGCAGTTATCGCCTTTGTTCTTTGATCAATCGGGCACTGAGCGTTTTTTAAAATTACATCGATACATTTTGCTGCATCGATTTCCAGGACGTTGTGTCCGGTATTTTGCAGCATCCAATAACTTAACGTGACTTTACCAGTACATAATCCAGCAAAAACGTGCATTTAAAATGTTATACGACTAGGCTTTTTACAGAATTCGGTACAGAAATTACAAAACTCCAGAGCATAGTCGGTTCTTGACTGGCGATAGGGAAAGTATTATCAAGTGCCTGCTGGCAGCAACTTCTAAATATAGCAAATCTGAGCAATTGTATACACACATACAGTCCATTTTTATTCAAATTACGGATTTCTTACCGTTTAGCTCGCTTTCCCCATCTGAGCCAAGCAAGAAGGGCAATTCCAGCTCCAGTTGCTGCTGTGTTGTTATGGCGTAATTCTCCGCTTTGCCATTGATTTTCGTCAGGCGGTAAAATTTCAGGTCAAATGACCCCAAGCCGAACTTTTGATAACTCGATAATATTTTTTTTGAACGACGAAAATAATTTATTCTCTTCCGCGACTTTAACCCTGGTCTTATATCTTTCTATAGGCTTCTCTTCTCCAGCGCGATAGAGACTTACTACCGCTTTTAATGCAGCCATCGCAACCAGTCAGCATGAGAGAAAGTAGAAAGTCGTAAAATACTAGAGCTGTCAAAACGTCTGTCAACTCGCGCAACGACATCCATGCGACAAATTACGCAGACACTTTCGACACTTCCGGTTTCGATTGTAATTCTCGCTACCAGAACACATAAACTCATAACACATTAGACTCAACAAAAGAACTCGAGACCTTATTTTGTGGTTAGACCTTTTTACGGTTAACATTTTTTTGCGGCTAACGGTTAAAATTCTTTCATTTTTACGCCTAACGACCATTGAGACCCTCTAGTAACCTTTGGTGAAGGCACAGAGAATCTTCCAATCTAAACTAAAGAATTTTGGAGACCCCAGCCATTGAATTTCGCTAAAAAACTAGATCCATGTAAGCGGCACATACCCCTATAGCCGGCTTATGCTGAGGAATACCCCCCCCCACCCACCACCACCACGGGTAACAAACGGCTAAAAACAGAGAAACTTGGCAAGCGATGAGAGAGAAAAATACCAAAGAGGAAGGCTTGTTGGTGGATCAGTGCTCCTTCGGGAGGCACAGGTTATCCTCCAAAATTGTGGCTAAGTCTGCAAATATCAAATGGAATTCCCAACCACCGCCGTCACTACCAATCAGCAATAAGGGACAAAATACTCCTTGACGGTGATTTGAATCTAAGAACTCTGTTCAACAATTGCCTTATCTACTATGCTCATTCTATGGTAAACAGTTGTTTAAATGGACCTCCAAAGGTCAATCTAAAGCTCTACATCAGAGGGAGGAAAATTATTAGAGGATCTGTCACCAAGAGAGTATAAACAGTTTATATTCTCTTGTCTGTCACCCGTTAATGAAACCAAATGCTGTTGATCTTCGACATAAAGCTACCGCAACGGTATTGAAACTAGAAACAGATTCTCTCAAGCGCAAACGATCCCAAATGTTCAGCCATCTTTCACAAGCCCACACCTGTTTCTCGTTTCCAACTTTGTTCCGAGGGTAATTCTTCCATTTGGCTTCCTCATTTCGTGCGAATCTAAGATGGCGCTAGTGACCCACAATGTTTAGCCTTCTTTCACGAGCTCCCAGCAGCGCTCTTGTTTCCAAACTTGTTTCGCAAGTCTCTCCCCTTTAAGACCCCTTGAAAAAGGTTTTGTTATCTCCTGTAAATCTAAGATGGTGGCCGCAAATCCAGTGTGTAAACAGAACTTTTCTTGATGAAATCTCTATCGTTCTTAGAGAAGCCATATAAAAGTTAGGAAGTTTATCCATTTGACTCTGATTAAGATATGGAAACGAGCTGCGAAGAAGTCTCTGGCTAATTCATTGTGGTCATGATGCAAACTACTTTGCTAGCTGTACCGTCCTGCGTTTCGTGACATTTTTTCACACATGAGAGATCCTGGAAACGAGGTCGGGAAAGTAACGAGTCACTGATTCCAACCCAGACTTGATAGAGGAAATATTCATTTGTTTTAACCATGGATTCCAACACGGGCCTCGACTTCCAGCGGATTGTGGTCACTGATACTGAAACTCTCGATAAGCACAGCAATATAATGGAAAAACTGAGACTGGAAGATCGGCTACCAGAAGGAAGGAGAACATACGAAGAATTGCTTGAGAAAGTAGGGTTGAAATTTGAACACGACCACGACCCTCGTGGGGCTGAGCGAACGTGTCAACATTTCGTTTTTCAGGGACAGTGTTTGGTTCTAGGAGACTCTGGAGTTGGAAAAACAAGTCTGGTCAAGGCTATCAGTGGAAAGCCTTTCGACGAAATGGAGCTAAGAACGACAGGAATTGAGCAAAGTCTTGTTGATGAGAAATGGCAGAACTTGGATACGAAGGATCTTATTTTTGGAAACGTAAACCGATTCTTTTTAGAGATTTTTGTTCAATTAATGCTTTATGGAAGGGCTGGAAATGTAATTTTCCAGCAATCTAGGTTTTGGAAAAACAACAGTGGTTTCTTTCTGTTGCTGTTAGGAATTATATTCTCTTTAACGATAACGAAAATAATTACGGATCCTCCAACAGAAAATCACATCGTGTTCCTCATAAGTATTATTTATTCCGCCTTTGTTTTCCTTTTTTTTTTGGTTTGTGAAACTTGCTTTGTTTTCTCTCCAAAAGAAGATCGGAGATTAAAGGTGAGCTTGTGCTGTTTTATGGTCAACCCTCGTGGAATTCTAGTAGGAACATTTCTTTCTGTTGGGTTACTCCGTTTTCACCGCGAAATCAGTTACGGCGAGCCATCTAAAACTGCAATTTTTCAAGTTGCCCTCTCTATAGCGACAGTAATCGCTCTTAGCTACGTTGCTTTTTTACTTTTAAGAGGCCCACGATCGTTTTCTTTGGAGCAAAAGTGTCCCCAACCAGGTCAACTGAAATTGAACAACCAAAGACCAATAGAAGTCATCTTCTTTAGTCGTTTCATCTTAAATACTTTTGTAAGCTTCATTTTAGTAACAACAGCTGGTGTATTTTATTCAAACATTCTACATCAGTTTTCTATCGTGATGGTCATCGTTTACTCTGCATTTTTCATGGCGGAGTCTGTGCCTCGAATTCTAAAATCACTACCAGAGTGGCATCAATGGGCAAAATTTTTTTTAATCATTATATTTCTCCTATGCGTTTTTGCATGTCTTCCCTCTTCAAGCGAGAAACTTGCCATGACTTTTTTAGTACTTCTCTGTCACACACTACACCAAGAATACTTTTGGTTGGAATCTGCAATATCAACACCTAGTGAGGACCATGTAGGTCCAGGTACGTTTACCGCAGTACAGTTGGAAAAAGCAGTAATAGACCACAAAAAATTGAAAAATGCCCTGAATCAGAAGTGGTCTTCCTTGAAACTTAAGATTCTTGATTTTGCTGGAGACAAAGAGTATCAGGCCTACTTTCATATGTTTCTAAGAAGTCAAGCTATTTATGTCATTGTATTTAACATGGCTGAGTTTGCAGAGGATAGTCTCAGAGACTTAACCACAAAAATAAAGAGTCTCCACTTTTGGCTTGAGTCTGTTTGTAGCCATGTGACATCAAGTACTCCAATTTTCCTTGTGGGAACACACAGAGGCAACATGGAGAGATCCACTATGGAAAGAATCAATGAAAATCTAAAGAGAAACTTTTGGGAACTTTTTTGTGGTGAGCTGGTTGTAAACAAAGTTGATGAGTTGTTTTTTTTTCCTGTTGAAAACTCCTTGGGTCAAAATGACAGTGGGATTCAAATTTTTCAGAGAGCAATCATTGCAACTGTAGAGGAACTTAAGGAAACAATTGGTCGGAACATTCCTCTCTCTTGGATCCAAATCCAGGATGCCCTCATAAGTATGAAGAGTGACAAGGGAGCAAAAGTCTGTGTGAGGTTTGAAGAGTTTCCTACTGTATTTGACAATTTCATTTGCACTAACTGGACTGAAGATACACTGGAATACTTCCATGAGAAGGGTTTTATGATGTACCTCAACAAAGAACCAAAGAGGGTTTTGCTTAATCCTGATGTACTAATCGATATCATCATCAGGCTTATCACCAAACAACCTGAAGGGATCCCCCAGAGAAGTTACAGACGTCACTGGAACCTATTGCAAGAAAAAGGAATGCTGACCAAATTCCTACTAGAATTCCTACTAGAGAGTGTCCTCTCAAAAGTGGAAAGTAAAGAAGATGTGACTGCATTCCTTGAAGAGTATGACTTGATCTGCCTTTTGACACATAAAATGGCTCCTCTAAATGGGGAACGTTTGACCCCAACTTACTTTGTTCCAGCACTGTTGCCAATTTCTACAGATGAGAACATTCAACTGTGGAAAGGCAGATCCACAGATAAAAAGTTCTTTGTGTTTTTCAAGAAATTCCTACCTGAGCCTTTGTTTCATTGTCTTCTCTCTCGTGCTCACAAGAACAGCAAAATTCAATTTCCACGCAGTCAACCACTTGTTTATAGAGATGCTGGCAGGTTCTGGTTGGATTCCAGGCAGCCTTACAGATTAAAACTACTAAAAGACATGAAAATGATAGAAGTGACATTCACCAGGTTAGTTGGGTTCCAATTCATTCACCAACATTAGTCATTGTATCTAGTATGTAAACTAATTGCTAATGGGGCTTTAAAATCATTTTCCTTAGAAAAAGTGCTTAACTCTCACAGTGCACCTCTCCACTCAGGAATAAAAATGAGTTTGAACATTCAGCTCTGAAGAAACAGCTTACATTAAACAGAATAACATCAACCAGAGAAAATTTCCATTGTTTCTCTAGGGGGTGCTGAAGACCAAAGTGCCAACATTGAATAACATGTACCAGATCTACTTAAAAATATCTAGGTCATACACAAAACTATTAAGTGTAAATTACAGATGGGATAAAATGCTAAATACTTAATAAAAAAAATGTTAAAATTTTCTGAGCCTACTTTGTGATGAAGATAATTTTATTTATCAACTACATTGGGTAATTTTCCACATATCTTATCAGTGATGTGAAAAAACTAAAAACTTCAGTATCTATATTACGTAGAGGAATAACAGGTGAAAAGCAACTCAAATGATGATGCTTCCTTTAGTTAACAGCAAAATATGCTGATTAACTATTGAAAGAAAACTAGCTATGTGTCTTAGTGTAGACCTAACTTAGTATTTTTCAGTCAAAATGTTTCAATAAGGAGATCAGATATTTTACAGATTAACAAGTTCCTGCGCCTTGCACAGATATTACTTGGGCTTCAATGTACTCTTAAAACACCACGTAAAATAATCTTATCTGAGTTATCTGGATGAAACTCTCCAGGCTGAAAATAACATGTTTGCTGTTTTTGTGCATGAACCAGTGTCACTGAGATGATTCATGCAATTTAATATTTCAGGCTTTATATGCACTAATTTTGGAACCTCTTAGTGGGGGGAGGGTTTGCTAGGGGAATCTTGTTTTTCTTTCAATAAAATGTTTTTTCTTCAATTAAATCTCACCTAGCAGCTTGCAAAGCTGGAATCCCTCAGATGTGTTGTGCATGGTGTTTTCTATGGTTGATGGAGTCTGCCAGCAGAGTTTCCCCTTCGTGAAGTTTCACTGTGGACCTGCTTGCCCCTCACTTGAGTGCCCTGGTCATCAGGATGAGGATGATTTTCTGGTACATCCAGCTGGTGAACCATCCATCAAAAGATGCCATGTGTATAACATCATGCCAGGACGTCAGGGAGATAAAATTCCCTTTATGTACTGTGTAAACCACTGTTTTGAGGATGAGCTAATAGAGTGGATACCATAGGTCAAGAGGGACACCTGGTACTTCAAATGCTTTTTTTTGATCATGTATTTTTCAACAGTTTAATCCATGATATACATAAATACATGATGTGAAAATGGATTGCTTCAAATTCATAATGTTCATGTAGTCTAGCCACATTAATACTTCAAACAGTTGAATTCAAACAATTACACACAGTCACAGAATACACACAGCGCAGCACTTTTTTGATGAGAAACAAACTAAGATTTTGTCTCATATTATTTCAGTCTTGTGATGTCCATTTATTGCTGGCTTGGTATAATATTGTACAGATCATGCTAGATTTTTTATTTTTAAAGGAGTGATAAATTCGTTACTCCCTCAAACTGAAGGTTAAATATCACCTTGATAGTGTCCCCTTTACCTAATTGGTCTTGAGAACTGTCAGTTTCACAATGCATCACAGCTTACTGAAGCTTTTTCTTCTTAATTTCCTTGCAGTTTTGTATGGATGAGGCCCTTAGATGTTTTGTGTCAAGCATTTCCAATGACATGGTAGATACAATTTGTGAGACAAATTTTACATTTGTGGAGTTTCATTGCAGATCTTTCTACCCCTAACTTGACTGAGTGCCTTGGTCAGGAAAATGAATGTTAGGTTCATGACCCTGCCACATGTCATGGGCAAGCCATCCAGTAGCAGATGTCATGTGATTGTTTGACATCATTTCATGCTTGGACAAAATAAGATCTCTCTTATATTCTGTGCAAACGACTGTTTTTGGAAATTAGCTGAAAGAAAGGACCATTGGTTTAGAATGAATTTTTTTAATCTTTCCACATGTCTGAGTCACAAGTGAAGGATTATGTGTGTTCATGATGGACGTATACAGTATCAAACCTTAGTTTGGCCACATAGACCAATCATATTCCGGTGTACAAACAATGCACAGAGTACATGCATGAAACAAGAGAAACAATCTTTATATAAGTTATAAACTTTACAATTAATACTACTAGGCATTAGGATGATTACCTGTTAGCTTATTTCAATTATTGCCTTGATTACAGAGAGTGCTGAATATAGCTTAGTTATTATTTTTTACTCTTTTTTCATATAGTTTGCTTTTGCCTAAATTATAATAGTTTTCGGACCTCAGTTCACAAAGTAATTATTGGATGATAGAAACACTCAAATGCAGGTGGAGCTAACCTTTGAAATTAACAAAATTCAAATGTGTGTTATGGAAAATGGAAATGAAAGAAATAGTTTGTTGTTCTGTTTGATTAATTTCAAAGGCCAGCTCTACTGGCATTTGAGTGTTCCTATCATCCAGCACTAACTTTGTGAACTGAGGTCATTAAAGTATTGTAATGAAGGCAAAAGCAAACTATACCCAGGTGTTAAATTCCTAGTGATGGGCAAATAAGGAAAATGGAAATAAAAGAAACAGGTAAAATGGTGGTGTGCTGTTTTGTTAATTTTACAGCTGGGTGCTTGTACATACAATAATACCCATTCTTTGGTGAGTCCTTGTGGTAAAGAGGGGATGCATCACAATAATCTTCTTAATGAACATTTTAGCTGAGCTGACTTATTCCATACAGAAGTATTGTGAGGAAATTTGTAAGCTCAGACTCTGGTCCCATGCAAAATGTTTCCACTTTTTGTGAGACTTCCAGTTGCGGTTTGATTTTTGTCATAAATGGGGGTATTATTGTACTTGGGAATCACATGTAGGCTACTAGCATGCTGGATTAGCATTTTTCATAGTCAAAAAGTTAGCTTAATTACTGAAAGAGTCATTAGTATTTGTGGTATGTAGTGATTTTGCATCACTGATATCATCAATATCTTTTTAACTTTAAAAGAGTCATAGGAAAGCAAAGCAAGATTGTTCAAGAAAGTTTAGCAATATTCAATGTGTGCACATCCAAAGGATGGTTAATTAATTGTAAAGCTGTTTTATTTTTTTTAATTCTTACTTCTCCTGTTTTTCCTGTTCTTTACCTTTCCGCTCTTCTTGTTCTCTCTTTTTAATCCCATTATCTCTGAAAACATTCAGGAGGGGGGGGGGAACAACTTCTACATATGTTTGCTCTTGCTCACAGGACCAAAACACAAATAATTAACCCTGTCTATTGTAAAGTGAAGATCTAAAAACAAATACACATAAAAGAAGAAGTTATAGTTAAACATGGAGAATTTTTTTTAGTCATATAACAACAATCCAAACCTGTTCCCACAAATGAGTACACTCAGCCACTGCCAAGTCAAGTCTGACTTAAAGGATACGATAGACATTCGTGGTTGTCCTTCGCAAAAGAATATTTAAACGCGCCATTTGAAGCATAACCATCATTAACTATGCATCAAAGGAAAGGTTACGAAATGTACTATTCGACAGAAATTATTTCGTTTTGGCATGATTTAATCGTAAACCGAATGAGGCACGTTAGTTTGTAATGGACGATGTTACTCGGAGCGTATTGATCGCATATCAAATATGAGCGCACAAAAATAAAACGTCTGCACAATTGGTTCGAGGTTTAAAAGCCCAAATTGTATCAGGTGCAAGTGAACGCCCACCATTTAGATAAGAACGATGGGCTGTTAACCAGCCACCAAATTCTTGCAATTTTTGTTCCGAAACTTTTTTACTTTAACGTAGTTTGTATTGGTCTATTTGTATTGTTTGTTGTCATTTTTAATCTTGTTATCGGTGTTAAGGCCCAGTTTTTTACACGCGATTTTTGATTATGTATTTCGCAACATTCCATTTAGATTGATAGAACTTCGTTGTATTATTGTTTCAGTTTACGACTGATTGATTGATTGATTGTGAGATTGATCGTAGATTGTGGTTCGTGGTCGATTACTTGCAAGATTAAAGATTGGTGTAAGCGGTCAACTTTGGTCTGTTATTCTTCAATTTCGATCTGTAAAATAGCCCCCAAACACCTTGTCAACCGCGTTTTGGAGCGACACCCTTTGGAATCTTACGAATCAGATTTTTTTGGTCGCCGCAAGCACTACACCCCACACAGTTTTTTGGTTGGTATCTTGGGACCAAATTTCAACGCAAACTGTTAAGTTAACATTCCCTATGAATCCGTTCAAAGAAGGCATATTCGCGTAAAAGTTAGGTAGGTTTTTTTTTCGTTTTCAAACTAAAATTTCCCGACAATTCGCACCTTTGAGTGACCACGTGTCAAGTTGTGACAACTCTCTGAAAAACAAGAAAGGCCGACAGCCTATAGAAGCACTGAAGCGTTTGGCAGAGTCTCGGGAGACTCTCAGCATTAACATATTTTGCATGTAACTACCTATCATTTACCTGTGACAGACCTTCAGTTCAATTCTGCTGAAAGGAAATTTTGATTTCAACTCTTTTTTTAACTTAAAAGCGGCACAAGCACGCTGCGGAAAAACTAAATAGTTGCAGATCGAGTGCGAGCAGCAAAGATTGCTTAAACCACAAGCCTTAATCCGTTTCAGTGAAATTCTTTCGCCATTCCGCGTCAAATTTCTTTACTTCTTGTGCTGACAGCATGGCTACTTTTCACTTTCATCTGTGGATTCTTCTCCTTTTTGTCTTTCTCCATTCACACTCTAGTTTTAAACGCAGACAGAGAGCAAATGTTTCCATGTGCAAACGAAATCAGGAGACGTCTGAGCGATCGAGATTCAAGGACCACAGTGTGTTTCGCCGCAAGAAACCCTTCAGGCGTCATTTATGTTGATATGTAATAACTGGCTATTCACACTCTGGCGGGCTAAAGAATTCATTTCAAAAATACGTTTTCGTAAATAATTCGCGTGCATTTCAATATACGTTTTTGCAAATAATTCGTGTGCGTTTCAATATTTTACAAACAATTTCGTGGGAATTACAGATAAAATAATAATGCTTACTTTGATATGAAAAAAAAATTCCAAAATCTCTGTCATCGAAGGTGTACCGTATCCTTAAGCCATTTTGTACCCCTCTGGAAAAATCCATTATATTCCCAAACTATGGACTTAACAACCTTCCATTCTTTGGTTTAACTTGAAAGTTCTAAAGCAATGGGATGTCATAAGTTACATGTACCATCTAGACATTATACAATCATCATGATGTCATGATGAAAAACAAAGTTCAAAGCAATATTTAAGTAATTAGATACTTCTCTCCCAATCCTGATAACACCACAGGAACTGACGCATTGGAATACCAGATAGAGCAGTTTTCGAAAATAATTGTGATTGCATTGGTTTTGCTTTGCTTTTTTCTGTGATTGATCTGGAAAAATCCGGCCCCTTTCCCAACTAATCAAATGCAAACGTTAAACCAATGACTTATTCATTCCCATTTTCGATCAGTCCGTCCATCGAGATTTAATAGTCCTGTAGGCTAGTCCACCTTCTCATATGAGCAAGTCACGGAGTGGTGAGGTGAGAACTAAAAAAACTGAGCCATCCCTATCAAAAGCATCCTTTTGAAAAGACCCTTACTGGTACACAACGATATTAATGTTTAGTAGATTCTTTATTAAATCACAACAACCCAACCGCATCACTGAACTCGTCAAACAACGCAATTCCAAAAATGAATAATGACGAGAGAGAAGGAACTTTTTAAGTTTCAAAAAGAATCAGTGAGATTTCAGAGTTATACCAGGTAAACGCCATTTATCGAGGTATAGCGGGAGTGGCCTAAACATAAAAAGTTTGCGATGTGCACCGAATGAGTCGATATGGGACAAATTTCGTTGAACTAATAAAGTAGTGTAAAGCAATTAAAAGAAAACGATTTTGCATTCAATCGAAAACCGCTCTGCCGGGTAAACCCAGCTTTTATAATAATTGCTCAGAGATTTAATTGGAACTTAGGGGAACACGCCCAATCACGCTTTTAGAATATGTTAAAACTTTTTTAAAGCACTAGAAATCGGAAGTAGATATCTTTGAAAATCCTTTAACTTAATACTTCATCTCCTTAATGCGTAGCCACTGCAAACGGTCCAACTCTTTGATCTATCTTCATGCTCACCTTTCTCCGCTAGAGTACAAAACTTTGCAACCCTAAAAAAACTAAACGCATAGCTGCGTAAACTCGGGCTTTCAATATCGCACATCTGGAGTTATCTTTAGGGGACTCCCACATTGCCGTAGTTACTGTCGTCACGCAATTTCGTCATTGCCGGTCATGAATAAGTCTACTTGTGTTTATTTTTGTCTGCTGGAGTGTAATGAATGTTGTTATTGTACTAGACAACAACCAAAATAATATATTACCATATAAGAGTAGGTTCCTACAGATGCCAAAGGTTGAAATTCAAGGACTTTTCAACGCCCACATTACCTTTACAATAGATAGTAACTGCAGTACATCCTATTGTCAATACAAAATTGTTGAAATTTTCGGATATGTGATCGAAAGGCTCTATCTAAGAAGGTACAGTACTGATATCCTTCTATTGTAGCTTCTTGATGAATAGTACCAGTGTAGCTTTCACTGTACTGAAGTTCATAGTCAGTCTCAAACACATTTAAAAGTGCGGGGAATTCTGTCTGCATTAAAAATGATTATCTGGTTAACTGAGACAAACAAACAAATTCCTTCAGTTTTCTGCCCTTTCTTCTGAGACGTTTCAGAGTAGCTTCTGGTATTCTACTGGGTTCTCGATCACGTCTAAATACACGGTTGTGTTTACATGTAAACATAATATTAGATAGCTCGTTTGATATAGCAGGTTTCGCTTGATATTTCTCGATAGAAAGTTCACTCGTAAAGGATCGCTCGTAAATTGATCTCTCGTAAAGCTCGCGGACCGACCCGTTCCCAAAACGCTCCACAAGTTTTAGTGTGGGTCTACCGCGAACGGTGTGTGACTTTGTATGTATATTGAGCGTAATAGCCATCGAATTTCTTTCGCGTACATCAAGCAAAGAATTGCCCACGAAGGCAGCCATTGCTTTAAACCATGCTTTGGGGTTCATTCTACGCATGCGCTGTAGTGGAACTGCGTTTTATGACTGAACGCAGAAAAAAAAAAAAAAACCAAGCCCGAATTTATACCTCGGGCGTTCCCTTCGGAAAGCCCGAGTAACTAGAAATCGGAGGTAGCTACTTCCGAAAAAAAAGACTGACACCTACTAGTAGGTGTCAGTCTTTCAACGTCCGCAAACTTTATCCTTTATCTACGGTGCCATAGTACGGTGGCCCTCAGAGGACATACCACATTTTTTTCTTTTTATAGCGCGATCAATCTCATTTAACGCGCGATAATTCATCATTTATCGCGCGATTTTTTTATTTAATCGCGCAATAAATGAGATTTATCGCTCGATAAAAAAATGTGGCATGTCCTCTCTGGGCCACCGTATTTATCTCTTTGCGTAACCGCTGGAAACGGTCCTACTCTTTGATCTATTTTTATGTTCACCTTTCTCCGCCAAAAGTGCAAACATTTGCAACCCAGAAAAGCTCTCTTAACAGCCAATGAGCCAGCATGTGAATTATGAACGGCTGGTTTTCCGCAACTGCCGCACGTCTCTTTCCACTCTTCAGCTTACTTATGGACCTTATGAGCTAAACGAACAACAGCCACTAATTTTTCGAACGAGTTGGAAACAGAATCAAAGAACCTGACTACACAATGTAGGTCTTACTTCTATCCCATTGTTATAGTCCCATGACGTAATGACAACAGCTCTCGCTAAGGAGAGGCTAAGGGAAATTTATATATCTTACTTACATAACACACTAGACTATTTCATCAAAGGTATTCGACGGATACACAAAAACGATGCTCCATTAACTTGGAATAGATCACAAATAATGAATGAAATAAAAAAGAATCAAAACTGCCTATGGTTGTGAGGAAAACTAAGATTTTCTAAAAGCTAGGAATAAATTTATTGCTTGCTTGCTTGCTTGCTTGCTTGCTTGCTTGCTTGCTTGCTTGCTTGCTTGTTTGCTTGTTTGCTTGCTTGCTTGTTTGCTTGCTTGCTTGCTTGCTTGCTTGCTTGCTTGCTTGCTTGCTTGCTTGCTTGCTTGCTTGCTTGCTTGCTTGCTTGCTTGCTTGCTTGCTTGCTTGCTTGCTTGCTTGCTTGCTTGCTTGCTTGCTTGCTTGCTTGCTTGCTTGCTTGCTTGCTTGCTTGCTTGCTTGCTTGCTCGATAGCTTGCAAAACGTACTCTGATACCTAAGCGGTAAAATACTAAAATAATTTTGTAAGTTCAACAAATTGCTCAATCTAGGAAGGACTGACATGTAACTTGCGTCTAGATCAACATTCACTTTGAAACATTGAGGTCGCAGAGCTGCAGAAATAGCGTTGAGGCCAACAAAGGCCTGGAGCGCCTCTTTCCCTAAAATGCCATTTTTGCAGGCTGGATTTTTTGTTTTGAAATCCCTTCCTTCAACATCCCCAGTACCTATTAGAATGACTAGAGCGACGAAGAATTTAGCCTCGTTCCAAAGCTTTCGTTCCCCTTGTCCAGCGGTCAATTTGGGGGAAGGAGGACTCTGGAAACGAGATTAGATTCCGTAGCTGAAGGCGTGAGGAGTTTCCCTTCTTTCGTAATTCTAAGTTAAACACGGTGTTCAACATGGAGAAGCACTTTTGCGAGAATTTCAAATTGACAGAAGAGCATGGCGATACAACAAACTCAAAGTTTGCGTTTCCAAGACAATGTTTAGTTTTAGGGGACCCTCGCGTTGGCAAGACAAGTCTTGTGAAGTCGCTAACTGGAGGTCTATTTGATCCAACCGAGAAATCGACGCAAGGAATTGATCTTAAGCTAGTGGACCACAAGTGGAAAACCTGTGACATGAAGGATCTTATCTTTGGGGACCCGTGGAGATATCTAAAGGCAGCCGACGTGAAAGTAGGAATAATTGGAACTGGAAAGCAGCGCAGTAAGGTTCTCGTTGGAGATTCCGATTTTATGGTGACAACTAGTCTTCTGCGGTTTTATTTATATTTCTGTGCAATTGCAACAACATGCCTTTTCATCGCCGGAACAGTATTGAAATTCCCCGTGGCACATCTCCTATTTTACTACATTTATTTTGGTTATTTTATGTTTCCAATTTGTGCTTTACACTTTGGGAGTAATATAAGATTTATCACCGCTACCCTTGCTTTCATTCTGAATCGCCGAGGGCTATTAATTGGGTTATATTCTGCTATGATGATATGTCCTTTCGACTTAAGTTATGTAGAGTTTGCTAGTACTCACGAATTTCTTATGTTGAGCATATTTGCTGCAATTGCGTTTGTCACTTTGTTCCTATTCGTGGGACCACTACAAGTACCCTTCGGCGCTGGTAAACTAGTCAAAAATCAAAACTTTACTAAGTTCCTCTGCATTTGTCGGTTCCCGCTATCAATCTTAATAGGATTAATTTCAGGCTTCGTAATTGCCATGTCGTTCTGGAGACTAACTGCGCTTTGTTATTGGGAGCACACCGCGATAATACTTTCAGTAAACTCAACCTCACATGAGTTTCATGATATGAATACTTTTAAAAGGTTAACAAACTGCACTGACCGCACTGATCAACTTATCCTCAGATTATTTGTTTTTTTTGTGTTTGACTCCCCTAGACACATTCTGGAAACCAGCTGTGTCCAAGCTGTTATTTTCCATTCTATTAGAAAGGACAGATCACAATGGCCTTACATAGCAATGTCTATTGTTGGGTTCTATTATCATATCAGAGTAGCATATGAAATCTTCACTGATCCACCCTCTGTAATTTACTATTTTGTTTTATCATTTCCTTTATATGTCTGTATAACATTCTTTGACGAATTTTTCTGTGGCAATTCTGATGGTATTACAACGGAACTTGCACATCCCTTTGACAGTTGCGTGACACTGGCGCTCATAGGGAATGGAGAAATAAACCCAAAGCTGCTAAGAGAGGTCCTGAAAAGTAAATATCCATTCTTAAAAATGAAGATATTTGATTTTGCAGGTGATAAAGAATATTACAGCTACCATCACATGTTTCTCAAAAGACATGCTCTGTATCTCATTGTATTCAAAATAGCTGACCTTGTAGAAAGTGACTTTCAGAACGTCTCTACTGGGCTTCAGTATTGGTTTGAGTCTGTCTGTAGTTATGTGCCACCAAAAACACCAATCTTCCTTATTGGAACACACAGTGAACAAATTGGAAAGAAATGCTTGGAGACCTTGAATGTCCATTTAAAGAACACTTTTTGGACTTCTTTTTGTGATGAACTCATTGTCAATGATGATGATGAGTTGATCTTCTTTCCAGTTGAGAACTCCAAAGGTGAAAAAGATGTTGGAGTTCAAAAGCTTCGCAACAAAATCATGGCTTTTGCTGAAGAATCCAAACCAACTTTAGATCAGAATGTTCCTTTGTCATGGATAAGAATACAGGATGCAATTATTCAGTTAAGGACAAAAAAAGATGCCAGATACTGTGTGACACTACGTGAATTTCCATGGGCATTTGACAACTACATTCACACCGACTGGTCTATAGAGACCTTGAAGTACTTTCATGAACATGGTTTGGTGGTATACCCTAATAAGAATGATGACCCATCAAACTGGGTTCTACTCAAGCCAGAAATACTGGTAGACATCATCATCCAGCTTGTCACACCATCACTGCAAATAACCCAACAGAGAGGGTTGAGGAGTGACTGGCAACTTCTCCGGGAGAAGGGAATGCTTACCAAAACCCTCATGAGTAGTATCATTTCCAAAGTAAAGGAGAATGAAGAGGCCATGATTGCATTCCTAGAAGAGTATGATTTGATCTGCCCCTTGACAAACCCAGAAGTCAAAATTGTCAGTTTAAGAGACAAAGAGAGACTCCAGCCAACTCACTTTGTTCCATCCTTGTTACCAAAGTCTCAAAAGGAATGCATCCAAGTATGGCATGATGACAAGAGAGATCAAAAGTTCTTCGTGTTTTTTGAGAGGTTCCTACCAGAACCCTTGTTCCATCGCCTGTTGTCTCGTGCTCACAAGAACAGTAAGATGGAGTTTGCCAACGGTGTAACTGTTGTGCTCAGAGATGTTGGAAAGTTCTGGATGAGTCCTTGGGAGCCATACAGGCTTAAGCTGATGAAGAAAGAGAGTCTTATTGAAGTTACTTTCATTACCAGGTAGTTGTACACCCTTTCCTTAGCAACTTAAGGGACTTAAACTTTTCATAATGTGTGGTGGCTATCAGAAATGATGCTGTGGGTTATTTGCGGAAATGTACATAGTTTTGCTCAGGGATCATGTGCATTTCTGAGTTTTCTCTAACCAGAATTTTCTTTATACTCAATGACTTGTAACTTGAAGATAGTGATCATGCAGGGGACTTGGCTGAAAATGAAATTTCTTATGGCCAGGCTGGCAATGTGCCAGCTTGCAACAAAGTTTTTGTCTAAACCTCTTTTCTAAACCTCTTTTCTCCACTAATGCTCAACAACACATTCCATTGTTTTCCAGCAATAGTCGAGGAAAGAAGCCGTCTTTTTTTTTGTGCCAAGTGTACTCCATGGTAGATGGGATTTGCAAGAGGAGTTTCCCCTTTGTAAAGTTTCACTGTGGACCTGCCTGCCCCTCAACCAAATGCCCTGGTTACCAAGACAACTACATGCACACACCATATCATCATTACCGACAACATGTGTTCAATATCATGCCTGGCCGTCAAGTAGATAAGAATGCCTCTTTGTACTGTGTCAACAAAAGTTTTGAAGATAAGCTGAAGGACTGGATACCATAGCTGAATGAACTACCTTATTAACTTGAAAAGGTAAATAAAGCTAAACTGTCTTCCAATAAGTTTTCTAAACCATGCTACCAACCTGGGAACCCAGGCAACAGTCATGTGATCCACTTTCCTTTCCACTGGGTCGATTACAATATCACTGACATTAAGTCAAACACAAAATAATAAATATGTCTAACTCTAAATTCAAAGAATAAAATTTACATCTTACCTCTTGTGTGCATCCTCTTTATTACAATTGCAACACAACTAGAAATTTTTGACTTAGTCTTCAATTTTCCATAGAGTTTATCCTGACTAAGAACAACTCCAAAACTAGGAAATGGTACAGCTTAAAACAAAGATTGTCAGAGTTAATGTGACTTTGCCCAAACAATTTGTGCCTACTCATGCAGCAAATATTACATATTAACTCAATCAATTTTTTCTTAGTCAGTTTCCAGCAGAATGAAGATTTCCTGAGGCAGACAAAATTGGTGTGCTCGTGTGAAGAGCTGTTTACAAAACTGGTATTTCCAGTCAGGGAGATAATATACTCTAATTGTTACAAGTCAATATAATATGAGATTTACACATCTCTCGACTTAGATTTGTGTTTAGAGAGTTTGTGACGTGCAGGCAGGTGTAAACTAAGTTCAATTTTATCAAAATTTTAACAGAAAGAACTATGTTGAGGAGACATTCACAATGTCAAACACTTAAATATTCTACATTTAGTGATTGGTGGATTGGTGATAAACAAGTAAAATATGAATAAATTATGGTAACAATTTCACTGGTTACTCATGTGTATTCATTTTCTTGCACTTAAAATTATTAATATGAAGTGATATAATCCTAAAGAAAAGACTTAAAGCTTTGGCCAGCCACTGCTGTTTTAAGCTGCTGTTCCTCTTTTTCTCAGTATTTCTATAATTTTGAGGAAGATTGTAATTTCGAAATTCTGCAGGATGTGCTTGATGGTATTCTCTAATGGAAAACATTAATGATATTTAGAGTTGCTGTGATATGATTATCTTTAATTTACAATTTCTCTGTCTCATGTTAATAATTTTCTAGGTGTGGGGTGTTGTTATCAAAGTATAGATGGTAATACACTGGCTTTGTATTTTTCTAAACATTTTATGTGCTAAAAAGACCTTATGGCTACAAGTTAGAGAAACTTACACTTTTGGTTCCAGTTACCCTTACTGCTGATGCTTAAAATATCTAGAAATTAGTACATTTACCTCAGAAATGGCCTTCCTGGAAACCTGGAGACCAAATTGAACAGAGTTATTAATTCAGTTGATTGCTGAAATTTGCAAAAGTAAAGTATGTAATGTATAATCAACTTGATTCTTACAGAATCAATCTTAAGCTCAGGCACACACTTAGCTGATAGATTGGATATTACAAATTTCAACTTACCTACACTAATACAATGTTAGCCTGTAGAGCAGGCATGATTTTGTCAAGCAAGAGCTCAATACTTTCATAGCAAAAAGTATAGCCGCCATCTTTTACTATGATGGCTGCAGAAGGCTTGAAAGAGAAAAAAATTTTTACAAGGGGAGAAAGGGGAGAAAAAAAATTTGTATCAAGGGGATGGTCTTGCCCTTTCCCCACCCCACCATTGTCTAACTCCAAATCAGACATGATTGATTGGATGAACAATCATGAGCTTATAGCATTAGCTCAAGCTAATATGACATCTGCACTGCAGGCTAATACAATTTAGAACTACATTATCAAATAGTATAGCAATTATTTATGATGATGTACACCATGATCTTTCTGATGTACTTAAGATTCAGCAGGAAGTGTTTCTTTTATAACAGATGGTGGAATAAAATATTTTTGCATTTAATAAATCAGCCTGCCTTTGTGAAAATTTTAGATGCATTTTGTGCTTTAGCTCCAACTGATGACCCCCCAAATCATGTGCCAAGGCCATGACATTGAACATTAATAAATTATGCCACCTTATAATTTAGCAGACAGAATATATAGCAATTGCTCTTCTTTACCCTTTAACTCCCAGATCAAATTTGTAATTCTCCTTACTGTCAACCATACAATTCTTATAATGTTAGTTCAGAGAATTTAGTATTGGATCAACTAATTATTCCCAAATTGATACTTTTCTTTATTCTCATCACTTATCTGGTTGATATTGTATTGATTTTGTAAAGAGAGATTCTGTCTTGGTCACTCATGGGAGTTAAAGGATTAATGGAGATGGAAAACTAACATAACTTCTGTGGTTTAATTTTTGACTTGTGGTTTACATCATATTTTGCTGTCGCAAACCCATTACAGTTACTATTTACAAAAACAAAATAAATAACAATCAGTATAAAAAATGAAACCACAATGTAACCAAACAAATGAAGCAAAAGAATTAGCAGGATGTGTCCTTGGCAGCACTTAGACCCACCTTCTTTGAGCGTAACTCTTACACAACAAATTTGCTATCTGACTTGTTAGAAACATTGTTCAGTTACTATGAGGTAATTTGTTTATGTTCAAATGCTCACATAAAATTCTATGGTCTTCCAAAGGAAGGTTTTCTTTAAATCACTGCTTCCTTACACTTTTAACTCCCATGAGTGATCAAGACAGAAGTTTTTCTTTAAATATCAACTAGATAAGTGATGAGATTAAAGAAAAATATCAATTTCGGGATAATTAGTTGATCCAATACTAGATTCTCTAAGCTAACATTATTATAATTGTATGGTTGATACAAAGGAGAAGTACAAATTAGATCTAAATGAAATGGATTGACTAGTGAGGCACTCCTTTCAAATGAGATCCATGTAATGTAATGGGAAATTTCAAAGATTTTCAGCTTCCAAGTTACTCAACCCCTGAGGGTGTCTACCAATTAACTTCTCCTTACAAACCAAATATTAAGGTCAAGATATAGGAAGTGATCACCAACTTAAAAAGCTCCTGATTGTTACACAGATTCTCCTTTGCAGCACCACAATAAATGTATAGAGAACAGTATGGAGAATATACATACTGATGTTAGGGTGTAAAGGGTTATTAGTGAACATTTGAAGAAAAACATTGAACACTGAAACTATGAAATTAACATAGGTGTAATTGTCTAAATCTTTTGGGGCTTATTAGTTGGCGAGTTAATATACAATGTACAGATGGTCACAAAATGTGCAAAAATGATCCATACCAATTATGAGATGACTTAATTTTCATTGAGCATTAAATATGGGATACATGATTTATCAAAAACTAGTCACTAGTCTTGCCTTTTGCAAATTAAATCTGGCACTTCAGTAAGGCTTTTGAATGCAGGGAAAAGGAATTTGAACAAACCAACATTCAAAATTTTAAAGGCCCAGGGGGAGGGGGATGTTGAAATTTTGAATTGATTGACGCTTTACCTTTTACTTCTTAACTAAATGGTAGAGTCAGACAAGGCATGCCAATTAATCACGCAAAGTGAGGTAAATAGATCATGACCAGCAAGAGCCAAACATTTCCCATTTAGCCTTCCCACAACCCAGTCACAAAGCACTTAATTATATGACTGCGACTCTTAATCTTCCTTTTCCTTCCTCTTCTGGAACGGTATACACAGAACCACGCGCATCTCTCTCCAACCCTGCTTGTTTCATCTCATATGGTCCTCATACAATGATTTTTTTAAACTGTTTTTCACAAAAAATGTTCAAGGGGCAACACAAGCCATATCATATTTTGGCTTAACTCATGCAAAAGACCACTATTTAAGCTCTAATTCACGAATTCGATCCATATATCCTGCGTTTGTTCGGTTATCGGTCAAAGATGACTTCAAAATGCGGCAGGAACAAAAAAGTGGTACACAAGGTATTCTTGCCACATGTCGATTTCTCTGTGAACTTTGTTTCTTTATTTACGGTGTGCATCAGTCGCCTTGGTCCAATATTTGAGTGAGAAAACACACAAATAAAAAGATTTGAAATATTTGCGTAACCCACAGTATATCTCAAGAGCTTAATCTAAGACTCACTCAAATTAAATTACAAATAATATTACTGAAAAAGGAGGAAGAGTAAACAAATTCTTTATCACTTATATTCTCTCTAATCTCTTGACCTCCGGGTCACTGTAACAAATATCTACAAGAACTACACTCACCATTACTTCCGTGAATGTATCAGATTTTCCGGAGAGGGTGACAATCGCATGGCTCGCACTGATTTGCAAGAAATCCGAGGACACTAGCCTGAACTAACATGGCAAACACTGAACTTGTTAGGACCCAGTTTATTCCTTCATTAGGCGCGGGCGTATTGATCAAGAGAGCAAGTGATTCGTTAACGAACAACCCTTTTATTCAACAGACTTTCTTGTGATTTTACGCCAAAAATAACTATGCCTTTGGGACCTTTTTATGAACTTATTTGTGTAACTAAATCAGAAATGATTCTACCTGCGAAAAACTGCGATGAAAGTGCAATTAGATGCAATGTATGTATGTATGTATGTATGTACGTACGTACGTACGTACGTACGTACATACATACATACATACATACATACATACATACATAGATAATCTTTATTTACCCATGGACAATTCATTAGCCATAAAATTATTCAAATATATAAACATATATTAAATGGATAAGAGATGAAGAATGTTACGATGTTTTAATGAGCTCATGGACCCTGTCATTAAAGAGTTACACGAGGTTGATCAGAATTTCAGGTCAGAAATGAACTTGAATTGGGAGCAAATCAGAGGTGGAAAGCTGTATGGATCAAACGTGCTATGCTGTAGACTGAGTGGTAGCTGAAACATAGAGGGATACCGCATAGTTCCCGCCAGCCGAGCAACAGAACTATTAGATGTGAGTTACCCGATGGTGACAACATTGGAGTCTATTGGGGGTAAGTAAGAGGTGGAACGATTGTTTGCCTCCGATTGATCTAGAGGACTCACCCTACCCTCTCAACCAAGAAGAGGAAAAATGAACAACTTATAGCGACCCACGTTTTCCTGCGCCTTGGGTAGATTGTTTGTAAAAAGGTTATTCCATGGAAAGTGTGCACGAGCGATTGTTATTCACAAATTGCGATGCGTAAAAAAACCACCGAGTGAGCGCAGCGAATACGTGATTTTTTTTGACGCATCGCTACTCGTGAATAAAAATATTTTAAGCACTTTCCATGGTATAATGTTTTATTTCATACATACCGAGATTTTCTCTTACTGGCCATCACATTTCAAAGATTGGAAGCTACTTAAGTGCAAGAGCAAATTTTTATAATAAACACCCCCAAATCCACAACGTGGCGCGATATTCAGTTTCTGTGAACAATTATATATATTTTTCTTTATGTTATTTGTTTACACACTAATTTGGCGCCTGAGAGACTTTACTTTTAAATGAGACAACGATAATTAATATTTTGAAAATTCAATTCATAAATGCCATCGCGAATTTGCAGGAGCTACGAAAAATTGTAAAGAAAAATGGGACAACCTCGGTTTTAAAAATAACCAATGCGAAAATGTCTTACGTTTCTGTCTATTTCTGAAAGTGTCTCCAACCAGTCAACTGAAATTGAACAATCAGAGACCAATAGAAGTCACCTTCTTTGTTCCTTTCATCTTAAATACTTTTATAGGCTTCATTTTAGTTACAACAACAATTGTATTTAATTCAAAAATTATATAACAGGTATCTATCGTGACGGTTATCTCCTACTTTGTATTTTATGAGTGGCGTCAATGCCTCGAATTCTAAAATCAATACCAGAGAGGCATCAGTGGGCTAAATTGTTGTCGGGATTACTTGTATTCTACGCGTTTGCGCATGTCTTCCCTCTTCGAGCCATCAGATCGCACAGTGGACTGAGACTTTCTTCTTTATGGTGAGATTTCAGAATCGTTGGTCAAACTGTGATCAATTTGTCTGTATTAATGTTCATTTTGAATAAATCAACCTCCCTTCCTTGAAAAAATCCAACGACAAAGAACGGTCTAGAATGATCCTTTTTGTTAACCCGAAGTAGACGCGAGTAATACGAGGAAGGGTGGGAGTCGGGAGGCAGAGGAAAACAAAAGAAAGGAAGGCGGGAGATATGAAAACGTGGAGACTGAGAAGTGGGAGACTGTGACCCCTACCCACCCACCCACCCAAGCGTCTGGGACATTTAGTTGGAAAGTAACTGATGAGCAGCGAAGACACTTTAAATCGCAAAAACACTTTAACAGGCAATATTATGATTGTACCTAAGAGCAGGGTACATTCGAATGATACAATCGTCCATAAATAACTTATATCTTATTGTCATAATCACAAGACAAGATGACAGCAGGTCTTGCGATTGAGATCTTTCATTGCCACTTAATTGGATGATGTGGCCAGGCATAGACGTTATGTTTCGTGGCCATAACTGGCTTGTTTGCGTGCCTTCTTAGGCAATAAGGTCGCAGAGCAGCAAAACCAGCGATGTGAATTGGAGCGCCCTCGCCCCCCTCCCCCTAAAAAAATATGCAAAATTTGCAGACTAAATATTTCGTTTTGATAACCCTGGCCACATCCACAGTACCTTACAATGGTCAGCGGTTACTTGGAAGAAAGGACCCCATAAAGTTTTCTTTCTTCTCAAAGCCAAGATAGACACAATGTTCAATCGAGAAAAGAATTTTTATGAGAATTTCGAAGTGAAAGAAGAGCAAGGAGATACCACAAACACTGAATTTGCGTTCCCAAGACAATGTTTGGTGTTAGGCGACCCTCGCGTTGGCAAGACAAGTCTCGTAAAGTCGTTAACTGGAAGGCCGTTTGATTTAAACGAAGAAACAACGCAAGGAATTGACCAGAGTCTCGTGGACCACGAATGGAAAACTTGCGACATGAAGGATCTTGTTTTTGGTGACTTATGGAGATATCTCAAAAGCGGCGACGTGGAGTTGGCGCTGATTGGAACCGAAGGGAAAATTAGCAAGGTTCTCCTCCAGGATTTAGATATTATAATGACCGATGGTCTTCTGCGACTCTTATTTTACTTCATTGCTATTTCATTAACATGCTTATTTCTCGTAGGGACAGTATTGAGATGTCCTGTAACATTTCTCTTATTTTACCACATTTACTTAAGTCATCTAATATTTCCGACTTTTGCCTTAACCTTTGAGACTTCAACTGAATTTAAGTTCATACTCGCTGCATTGGTTTTCACACTGAGCTGTCCGGGATTGTTAATAGGATCATATTCAGCAATAATGATTTGTTCTATTCATGATAGTTATTGTGACTTTGCCAGTACTCGTGAGTTTACCGTGTTGAGCACAGTTACAGGTATTGCCTTGCTCACCACGTTCCTCTTCATAGGACCACTACAACTACCCTTTGGTTTAGATCAACTAGTAAGAAACCAAACCTTTACTAAGTTACTCTGCTATTGTCGATTACCATTATCAATCTCTACGGGATTAATTTTGGGCTTTATTGTTTCAATGTCGCTCAGTAACAGGTCTGACAGAATTAGCTATGAGGAGACCGAGTTATCGTTACCAGAATCAGAAATATCAACTGAAATCAACCCATGTACATGGCTAACGAAATATCTTATAGCACTCCGCGTCCCCCTCTTTTACGACGTTCTTGCGACGTTTGTAATGGAATTCCCGATCAGAATTTTGGGCACGAAATGTTTTCAAAACAAATTTTTACGAGCTATGAAGGCGGACAGAACAAAGAAACCTTCCGTCGCTTTTTTTCTCGTATTTTTTTATTATTACTTTAAAATAGTATTTCAAGTATTGACCGAACCATCTTCGACACTTTGTTATTTTTTCATATCACTTTTTTTGTACATCTGTTTAACTGTACATCAGGAATGGTTTTGTAGCGATTCGGAAAGTAATGACACAGTATTTGCACACCCTTCTAATAATTTCTTGACATTTGCACTGATTGGAAAAGGCAAAATTAACATAAATAGGCTTCAAACTGCCCTAAATGATAAATATCCCTCTTTGAAACTAAAGGTCCTTGATTTTGCCGGTGATAAAGAATATTATGCGTATCATCATATGTTTCTCAGGAGCCAGGCGGTGTATCTCATTGTATTTAACACTGCTGACTTTGCACACGATGGCCTTGAAAATTTTAGTTCTGAGAGGCTTCGCTTTTGGTTTGAGTCTGTCTGCAGTCACGTGCTGCCAAAAACACCTATCTTCCTTGTTGGAACACACAGTGAAACCATGAACAAGAAGCGAAAACAGATATTGAATGACCACTTCAAGCAAACTCTTTGGGGACCCTATTGCGATGAGCTGATTGTCAATGAAGATGACGATTTAATCTACTTTCCAGTTGAGAATTCAAAGGGTGAAAATGATCTTGGGATTCAAAAGCTTCGAATAAAAATCGTGTCTGCTGCTGAGGAATACAAGCCCCCTGCAGGTCAGAAGATTCCTTTGTCATGGATAAGGATTCAAGACGCAATCATCCAGTTGAGGCAAAAGAAGGCTGCCAGGTTCTGTGTGACACTGAGAGAGTTTCCGTGGGCATTTGGTAACAGAATTCACACCCACTGGTCTGAAGAAACCTTGAAGTACTTCCATGAACAAGGCCTGGTAATATACCTTCACAAAGATAAAGACCTGTCTAACTGGGTTCTACTCAAACCAGAAATTCTGGTGGATATCATCACCCAGCTGGTCACGTCATCTCCTCAAATGACCCAGACGAGAGGGTTGAGGAGTGACTGGAGACTTCTCCAGGAAAAGGGAATGCTAACAAAACCGCTTCTGATCAGCATCATTGCTAAGGTAAAGGAAAATGAGGAAGCCATGATTGCATTTCTTGAAGAATATGATTTGATCTGCCCATTGACCAACACAAAAGTCAAAATTGCTAGCTTAAGAGACAGAGAGAAACTCCAGCCAACTCACTTTGTTCCATCCCTGGTACCGAAGTCTAAAGATGGATGCATCCCAGCATGGTATGATGACATGAGAGATAAAAAGTTCTTGGTGTTTTTCGAGAGGTTCCTACCAGAACCCTTGTTCCATCGCCTGCTGTCTCGTGCCCACAAGAACAGTAAGGTGGAGTTTCCAAATGGTGGAACTGTCGTGTTCAGGGATGTTGGAAAGTTCTGGATGAGTCCTTGGCAGCCATACAGGCTTAAGCTGATGAAGAAAGAGGGTGTCATTGAAGTCACATTCAGTACCGGGTAGTTGTACACCCTTTCTTCAACAACTTAAGGGACTTAAACTTTTCATAAATTTGGTCAAAAAGCACTCAAAAGAAATGAAGCTGTGGGTTATTTGCTAAAATGTACATGGTTTTGCTCGGGGATCGTGTGTGTTTTTGAGTTTTCTCTAACCAGAACCTTCTTTTTACTTAATGACCTGTAGCCTAGAAGATGGTGATTATGCAGGTGACTTGGCTTAAGGTGAAATTGTTTATGGCCAGACTGGCAATGTGCCTGCAAAATTTCTTTCTCTAAACCTTTTCTCCACCAACGCTCAACACATTCCATTATTTTCCAGCAATAGTCGAGGAAAGAAGCCTTCAGATGTTTTGTGCCAAGTGTACTCCATGGTAGATGGGATTTGCAAGAGGTGCTTCCCTTTCGTAAAGTTTCACTGCGGACCTGCCTGTTCCTCAACCAAATGCCCTGGTTACCAAGACAACTACATGTACACACCATATCATCATTACCGACGACATGTGTTCAATATCATGCCTGGCCGTCAAGTAGATAAGAACGCCTCTTTGTACTGTGTCAACAAATGTTTTGAAGATGAACTGAAGGACTGGATACCATAGCTGAATGAGCTATCTTAACTTAAAAAGGTAATAAAGCCAAACTGTCTCCCACCAAGTTTTTTAAACCATGCTACTAACCAGGGAACCCAGACAACAGACATGTGATCTACTTTCCTTTCCACTGGGTCAATTACAAAATCACTGACATTAACTGAAACACAAAATAATAAATATGTCTAAATCTGAATCTAAAGAATCATTAAATATTACATTTTATCTCTCATGTGCACCCTCTACACTAAGATTGCAACAGAAATGTAAATTTTTGAGTCTTAATTTGTCAATTTTCTAAAGAGTTTATCTTGACTGAGAACAACTCATTGACTGTGGATCACCACTCAAAACTAAGCTTTAAAACAAAGATTGTCAAAGTCTATGAGATCTTTGCCCAGAAAATTTTTGCCTTCTTGTGCTGCAAGTATTAAATATTACTCAATCAGTTTTGTCTTTGTCAGTTTCCAGGCAGTATGAAGATTTCTGAAGCAGACAAAATTGGTTGGCTTTCGTGAAGAGCCAGAACTGTATGTTAAACTGATATTTCCAGTTAAGGAGTTAACAAACTATTATTGTTACAATTCAATATAATATGAGACTTGCACACCCTTGACATAAATTTGTGTTGAAAAAGTTTGTAAAATGTGGACGGGTATAAACTAATTTCAATTTTTTCAAAATTTAAACAGAAAGAACTTTGTTCAGGAGACATTCACAGTAACAGAAACTTAAATATTCTACATTTTATGATTAGTGGATTAATTTGGCCTGTTACACATGTGCATTCATTTTCTTACACTTAAAGTTATTATGAAATTTAATCCTTAAGAAAAGACTTGAAGCTTTGGCCAGCCACTGCTGTTGTCAGCTGCTGTTTTTTTTTCTATTTCAGTCTATAAATCTGAGGAAGACTGTGATATTCTAAATTACTGTGATATAATTATCTAAAAATCAAAAGTTCTCAGGCCCATAAATAAGTTTTCAAGGTTGTGGGGTGTTGTTATCTATAGATGGTAATACATCAGCTTTTTATTTATCTACAAACTTTATGTGCTGGAAAGACATAATGGGTACATGTCAGGCAAACATATACCTTTGGTTACAGTTACCCTTTCTGCTGTTGCCTAAATATCTGGAAATTAGTAAATTTATCTCAGATATGGCCTTCCTGGAAACCTGGAGACCAAAATGAAAAGAGTTATCAATTCAGTTGATTGCTGAAATTTGCAACAATAAGGTAATGTATAATCAACTTGGTTCTTACAGAACCAGTCTTAAGCTTAGGCACACACTTAGCTGGTAGGTTGGACTTTACAGATTTCAATATACTTACACAAATACAATGTTAGCCTGCCAAGCAGGCATAATTTTGGTGGGGGAGTGCTCAGTATTTTCTTTGCAAACATTAAGATTGCCATCTTTTATTTTAATGGTAGCAGAAGGCTGGGGAGAAAAAAAATTTGTACAGAGGGGATGGTCTTGCCCTTTCCCTACCCCCACTGTCGTCTCTAACTCCAAATCAAACATGGTCGGTCAGATAAACAATCATGAGCTTATAACTTTAGCTCAACCTATTATGATGCCTGTACTGCAGGTTGATACAATGTAGAACTATATTATCAAATAATATGGCAATTATTTATGATGGTGTACACTATGATCTTTCTAATGTACTTAAGATTTATCAGGAAGTCAGTTTCTTTTATGCCAGATGGTAGAATAAAATATTTTTACATTTAATAAATCAGCCTTACTTTGTGAACATTTTAAAAGCATTGTGTGCTTTAGTTCGAACTGATGCCCCCATAAGTTATGTGCCAAGTGCCATGACATCGGATATTAATAAATAAAGTTACATCACCCTATAAGTTAGCAGACAGAATATATAGCAAAAACTCTTGTTAATGGAGATGGGAAATTTACATAATTGCTGTGGTTTAATCTCTGACTTGTGGTTTAAATCGTATTCTGCTGTCTGAAACCCATTACAATATATCAATTACTATCTACAAAAACCAAAGAAATAACAATAACAAAACCACAATGCAACCAAACAAATCAAGCAAAAGAATTACCAATATGTGTCTTTGGCAGCACTTAGACCCACCCAGTTTGAGCTTAACTCTAACACAACAAAAATGCTATCTGTCTTGTTAGAAGCATCAATCAGTTACTAAGAGGTAATTTGTTTTTATTCAAATACTCACATAAAATTCTATGGTCTTTCAAAGGAAGGCCATCTTCAAAGCACTGTTTCCTCATCCTTTGAGTCCTTTAACTCCCATAAGTGACCAAGACAGAATTTCTCCTTACAATATCAATACAATAACAAGCAGACGAGTAATGAGAATAAAGAATATATCAATAAGGGGAATATAAGTTGATCCAATATCAAATTCTCCAAACTAACATCACAAGAACTGTATGGCAGACAGATCCACACAATGCAATGGGAAATTTCAAAGATATTCAAGTTAACCCTTTAACCTCTTAAAGTGTCTACCATCTAACTTCTCATTATAAGATCACTCCTGAAGCTTTTGATTTTTAAACAAATTCTCCTTTTCAGCACCATAGGAAATGTATAGAGAACAGTATGGATAATATACACACTGATGCCAGAATGTAAATGGTTAAGTGAACAGTTGGAGAAAAACATTGAGATCTTTTATTATAAAATTACCATGGGTGTAATTTTTAAAATCTTTTCGGGCTTATTAGGTGGTGAGTTAATAAAAAATGTACAGATGGTAACAAAGTGTGCAAAAATGATCCACATCTACTGAGAGATCATTTAATTCTGATTGAGCCTTAAATATGGGATACATAATGTATCAATCACATATGCAGCAATCAATTTCAAAGCTTCAAATTCACCTCCCCCATGGGCATTTGATTCTTTTCCATGCCTAAGGGGAAATTTGAATTTTACCTCAGTGGGGTGGGGAATTTAAACTAGAACTGTCAAGCTTTTCCAGCCAAATAAACATGTTTTCTTTTAAGAAATATAGGTATTTTATGGTAAAAAAATTCACTTAAGAAATCAGATGGCTTAAGAAAAAAGTTCCACAAGAAAGTCACTGTCACCAGTCCTACCTTCTACGAATTAAATCCCCCACTTACCTGAGGCAGAGGACAGGAATTTGAACGAACCAATATTCAAAAATTTAAATGCTCAGGGAGGAGGGGGATGTAGAAGTTTTGAGTTGATTGACACATTACTTTTACTTCTTAACTTAATGGAAGGGCCACACAAGGAAATATTTTGCTCCATTTTATGGCATGCCAATTAACTAAGCAAAAATATGTCATGACCAGGAAGAGCCAAACATTTTCGCATCTAGCCTTACTGAAACTCAGTCACAAAGCACTTAATCATATGACTGCCACTCTTACTATTTCTTCCTTTTCTGGAACGGCATGCAGTATGCATCTCTCTCCAACCCTTGTGCCATCTCATATGGTCCTCATACAGTGATTTTTTTACACTGTCTTTCACTAAAATTGTTTAGGGGGTGACACAGGCCATATCATATTTTGGCCTAACACTAGCAAAAGACCATTATTTAAGCTCTGTTTTACAAATACAATCCATATTTCCGTGCTTCTGTTCGGTTGTCGATCAAAGATGACTTCAAAGTGCGGTAGGGAAAAAAAAGTGGTACACGGGGTGCAGCCGAGTGCGTCACTGTTGTTCTTGCCACATGTCTGTTTCTCTTCAAACTTTATCTCTTTGTTTATGGTGAGCATCAGTCGCCTCGGTCCAATGATTGAATTAGGAACCACGCAAATAAAAACATTTGAAATATCTGCGTGACCCACATGATATCTAACAAGCTTAATCTATTGACTCACTCAAATTAAGTTGCAAAAATGGAAGAAGAGTTTCTTTATCACATATATTCACTCTGATCTCTTGACCTCCGGGTCACTGTAATAAATATCTACAAGAATTACACTCACCATTACTTCCGTGAATGTATCCGATTGTCCGGAGAACGGGACAATCACATAGCTGGCATTGTTATACAAGATGTGCAACGACACCAGCCTGAAATAACATGGCGAACACCGCTCTAATTTGGGCCCAGTTTGTTTCCACATTAGGCGCGGGCGTATTGGTCAAGAGAGCATGTGATTCGTTAACGTACAACCATTTCATCCAACAGACTTCGTTGCGATTTTACGCAAACATTACGATGCATTTGGGACCTTTTTATGAATTAATATCTGTACCTGAATCATACATAACTCTAACTGCGAAAAACCGAGATGAAGTACAATTATGATGTAATTTTTTTGCGTCACACGTGATGTCAAGCCCCAATTGTGACGTCGTGAGTGTCGAGCTTCAAACGATCGATTTTAGCAGACGATATAGAAAACTAAATAATGGCTTTTGCTCTTCAAAGGTTTAGAGATCTCTTAGGCAATCCTTATGCTGTGATTGGGGTTTGTGTAGCAGTAAGTGTGACAGCCTACTTTACTCTCAGCAGTCACCATCCAAACTGTTCAAGGAAAAAGCGTCGCATGAGCAGCTTTCCGGACCTCACAAACAACATAACTATCATGGCAAAGTATCTTACACCAGACGTATTCTCCAGGTTGAAAGACAGGGTCACGACTAAAAATTATGATATAAAGCAACTGATCGAGTCGGGTCTAGGTTCAGTTGGCCCCTGCTCACTCGCTGGAAACCCCGCGGGGCTGCTAGCGGGAGATGAAGAATGTTACGATGTTTTTAATGAACTCATGGACCCTGTCATTAGAGAGCTACATGAGGTGGATCAGAATTTCAGGTCAGAAATTAACTTGGATTGGGAGCAAATCAGAGGTGTAAAGCTGTATGGATCAAACGTGCTATGCTGTAGATTGACTGGTAGAAGAAACATAGAAGGATACCGAATGGTTCCCGCCAGCCGAGCAACAGAACTATTAGATGTGAGTCACCCGATAGTGGAGTCTATTTGGGGTAAGTAAGAGGTTTAGCGGAAGTTGTGGTTTTGTTTGCTCCGCCATTGATCCAGAAACCTCACTCTACCCTCTCCATCAAGAAGTGGCAAAATGAACAACTTATCGCGACCAACGTTTTCCCGCGCTTTGGACAGATTGTTTGTATAAAGATTATTCCGTGGAAGGTGCGCACAAACGATTTTTATTCACGAGTTGCGATGGGTCAAAAAAACGACCGAGTGAGCGCCGCGAACGAGTGAGTTTCCGAAGCATCGCAAATTGTGAATAAAAAACGTTTAAGCACTTTCCATGGTATGATGTTTTTATTTCATATATAGTGAGATTTTCTCTTACTGATCATCACATTTCAAAGATCGGAAGCCACTAAGTGCAAGAGCAATTTTTTACAATAAACACCGCTAAATCTGCAACGTGGCTCGATATTAAGTCTCTGTTGTTTATGTTGTTATTTCTTTACACACAAATTTGCCGACTGAGAGACTATACTTTTAAAAGAGAGACAACGATAATTTATATTTTTGAAATTCAATTCTTGAATTTATGAATGGCATCGCGAATTTGCAAATGCTTACATTTATGAAGTATGAAAACCTGTAAAGAAAATGGGACAACCTCGATTTTAAAATAACTGAAAATGTCGTAAGCCTCTATCTGTCTCTGCTCTGGTGTTCTTTCAGTTTCTTGCTCATCTATGAAGTCATCTTTTTTTCCTTCATGGAGAGCAAATCTTGGCACTTCTTCATCCATTTTTTTTTTAACAGAGAGCCGCGTGCTTGTTGCCCTCCACTCTAAAGTACTATCGTTCTTGTCTCTGATAGGACGAACGATATATTTTCACAGTTGTTCTCTCTATTGATTGGTTGGTTGAGTATTTCGTAAAAAATTTAAGCGGGCCTTTTTTTTCGTGAGTAAATCTCAGTATGCATGAAATAAATTCACTTTGTGTTCTCATTGCCTACTTTTAATATTCCCATTTGTTTTGATTGGCTGAGGTGATTACTTTAAGTCGAGTTTTAACTGCTCGGGGAAAAAAGCGCCCGGAGGGTTTTAGTCAGTCACTTTCCGTTTCATTAGTTTTTCTTCGCTAAATTTGATGGAAGAAAGATAGTTGTTTGCAATCTGTGTTCATCTCGTCCATCTGTAACTGTCTTGGTTACTTTTTGTTTTTCTATTTTTTTATTTTCCTGACTCATCATAATCACGACGTTTGGTTTCGCTCACTCGAGCTCTGAAGGAAATTTCGCAAGTCAGTATTTCTTAGAAATCTCATATGAGATGTACTACTTTGTCTTCACAGAAAACATCGGGGACTCTTTTCTCTCGGTGTCATGGCAAAACAGTAATTCTGCGATGGAAGAATATGGATCAAGCTTTGTTTCACTGCCGCCCCAACTGTCACGCGATTGGCCTCATGGAAGGTTCGTGTGGTTAGCTGAGAACAGACAATGTCAGATATTCATAAATTTCGAGGATCATTTGAAGGTTGTCATAACTCAAACTGGCGGTGATATACAAAGGGCATTCAGGCGATACAGCGAAATACTCTTAAGTATAGAGGAAGGTTTAAAACGAAATGAAAAGAAGTTCATGTGGAGCTCAAAATATGGATATTTGACAAGCTCGCCACGTAACATCGGCACCGGACTTGAGGTAGAAGTAGAAGTTCGGCTGTCAAAACTCTGCAAGGTTGGTAAGTTTAATTTCTATAAACTAATCATCGTCACAAGGTGGGAGAGTAGTGGCATTTGGTGGGAAGAGTTAGACGACATAGGCTGTGGAATACCCTGTGCCTCATTGCTTCACTGAATTTCCCGTATCTTAGTCGGTCGAATTAAACAGACTCATTCAAGTATAAAGTTCCGTTACGCTATTTTTGTAAGAGTTGGCCATTTTGTGTTAGCAAGTAACACTGTTGATATTAGTGCTTTACCTCTAAATTTTTCAAGGATCCAAGATTTGAGCGCATTATACATGTACTCCCAGTGAAGTTAGACGAGGCAGGTGAGCTGGAGATTCTCAAAGGAAACTGAACCACTCAACGTGAGCACTGATCAGGAAGCTCAGAGTGATTAAAGCACTGGTCAGTAAAGCGGGACCTAGGGAGGTATTTCCGTCAATCTTGACTACCATTTAAGGGGCGGTTGGGGAAAACCCCATTGAGGGCCAAGCCCCGCTTTGCTCAGTCACAGCAGGTAACAGCAAAACCAATAGAACAATTTAAATTGAAAGGCTGAATAACTTTTATTTCCGATTCTGTATCAGAGCTGAACTGAGTAATGTTACAGTGGAATAGGTTGCAATTGGTACTTAGGCGATCTCAATTGTTGCTTATCAGTAAAGCTGGGGGTGATATATATTTTTTGCTCTTCGTAATAGTGGTGATTAGTTGAGATGAAAGAAAAAAAGGATTCTATGCGTTCCGCGTTCTCCACTTTTAAAATTGATAGATTAAAATGCGCCAAAAGCAATGACATCTGAATTCTTGAAAGTTCCTGCTTCTTCCAACCCTCTTCTCTATTGTGTTCTGTTACTTCCTCGGGCTTCATGTCTCGTAGACTTTCACCAACCCGGGGTATAACCGCACAGCGCACAGTTCTTTCCACCCGATAGTGTCCGCAGTACAAATAGAGCTAACTGTTGTTACCCATTTTCAGTAAATCCACATGCTCAAGACGTGTTCTGCATCCGAAATAAATACAAAATGCAGCTGACGGAGGTAATTATTGATAGAATCATAAGATGAATCAATCAGTTGTGTGAAAAGTGTATTCAAGAGACATATTGAGATAGGTCGCTTTTGGCGATGGATCTCACATTTTTGCTTTTTAGACCAAGATAACGCTTTTATTAATAGAGTAAGAAGATTGCAAGTTTTTATGCTCGGTAGAGAAATAGAGAAATATGTTTTCCGTCTTATCACGAGCGTGGGACAAATAAATAATTCTGAATCCCCATGAGGAATCGAACCTCAGAGCTACGGATTTCGCGCTCCAATGCTCTACCACTGAGCCACAGAGACTCTATGGTGAGCAAGGCCCATTGCGAAGCTTTAGTTTCAAGATTTAATTGTACAACTTCATTTTTGGTAGTTGTTTATTTCCTTTACGGGCGGAGAATTTGAAGCAATCATGGCACCCTATCTACTTAATGAATGTCTTACGTATTCGCCATTTATCTCGATGATACATTGAGAAGTTGTGAGAAGTGATATCATAATCACATAGAAGAGTTCAAGTTTTAGGCAAACGACGTTACCACAACTAATTTGAAGGTAGTATAGTATATAAAACACCGGTGTTTAATAATTTAATGATGATTATTCCTAATTGTTTTAAATCTAATTTTGCAGGTTGATATTCTTCAACAAGTTATCAACAGTGTGACTTTACTGGTTGAAATTGACAAGAGAATTCATCGGGGAGAGAACATCCGGGATTTATTGCCGTAGAGTGTTATTCCTACTGAGAGAGGGTAGATCGACAGTTCATCATACCACTGAGATCTCGTGAGCATTGATGAAGTCTTCGGAAATGGCCATTTGAGGCTAGAACTTGTAAACTCAGCCTAATAAGTGCAATAATGGTAAAACTCATCCGCAAACCTAAAGAGGGGAAGCCGAAGAATTGCGGGAGCTTCCCAGTTGCCTTAAAGCAACGCATTTTTCTGTGGTTGTGACGAGAGATTGAACTCACCTGGACTACGAAGCAGGAGATTTCGGCTCCAGTTTTAAAATTATTCTAAGAATTACGTTTTAGTACACGATTCATGTCAGCCAGAATCGCAGTGTGGTGGAGATTTGTTAAATCTATGTATTTTGCCACATTAGCAACATTAAACCAAAAGTGCTTTTATTTGGTGTTGCTTTCACTGTGACTCCCGGGGATCAATAACCCTCATCAAGTGACCTAATAATTTTCAAGTTTGAGCAGTAGATACACGAATACACAACATAACTTGTTAAAATGCTACTCCCCCCCTCCTCCCTCACCCCTAGAAATTTACCTCCTATAGATTCCTTGTGAGAAAAATTATTCATTCTGGTAGACAGGATCTTCAAGAGAGGTAACGAAGGCCACGACAGCATCCTCCACACGTTTGTACAGATTATTCTACAACTAAACCTGTTTCCTGCAGATTATATCATTATTATCATTATTTTGCTTTTGTGGTTGTTAGTGAGGAGCCTGTGTTGGTTTCTCTAGCTCCAAAATGTAATCTCCGATTTTAACTCAATATGGATGTATTTTTCATTTGTTCACGTGGTCAAAACAATATCTGGTATTGTTGTCTAGCAGACGAAGCTAAGTTATCGTCGGAAACAATTACAGCCATAAAAAAAAATATAATACTGTGTACACGACTGGTATATATAATCCGCTTCAGTGAAATTTTTGTGCGTAGGTCTACCAATATACTAGTAATCTGAAGCGAGACGAAAAAGAGATTATCGAGACGTCCTTATCATACTAGACAAACAAATGTTACTCCCAAATTTTAACTCTTCACTGTACTGATTTACGTCTAATAAGAAAGTGTACCAGGAAAAAGGCAGAAACGCCCTTATTTCGCCATCTATAAACAGTTCAGAGAGGGTCTCATCAGTATCCCAAAGCATCTCCTCAAAGCTGAGCTCCTGGCATTACATAGCCGCAATAAACTAACACCATCAAGATAAGAGAAGGCAGTAACTATTAGGGCCGTCCTGATTATACCGGCTTGCTTTTAAGCAACTTTTTTGCGGTTTTAGCAACTTCGAGCAACCTTTGCCTTTCAAAGCAATTTTTGAGCAAAGTGTAGGTTTAGAGCATATATCAAGCTCGAAAAATTCGACGATTTTTTAAAAAATTAACGCATTAACTGTCACTAGACAACGTTTCGCAGACCTTTTTCGATGTTAGTCTAATATTATAACGGTAATCAGCTGAAATAACGCTCGGCAGGACGTCAAATGAACCATTATCCTTAAATGTCGCCCACATTGCGAGCAACTACTTAAAGCTAATTTTCAAGTTATTTTTCTTGACGGATGTTAGCAATTATTAACTTAAATTATCAAAATATCAAGAATTTCGGCAACAGCTTTTGAAATTTTTTTGAGCAGCAATTTTTTTTAGCAACATTTTGGCATTCCAGTGAGCAACTTTCCAACAGCTTACAAGCATAATCAGGACACGTGTGTTAACTACAACTCTGTTCTTAAGTTAATGAAAAGATTTCTGTTTGCGGGTTAAAGCACGCGTTAAAAGAAAACATCTTGTAGCAGCCCAGGCCTTTAAGCTATAAGAGTTTGACCTTCAAAGTGAAACTTGCCCTCAGTGTTTCTGGTCGTTATGGTCAGCGGGGGACATGATTAAAATCATTGGTGACATTTCAATCTAAAATAAGTTTCGTCAACTGAATGGATATTTGCTCGACGAATTTTAATTGAGATTGTTATCGCAACCGCGGCTAGAACGTTCTACAAGGTTTCGACGATGCTTCAATCGTTTAAGTTCATAACGAACTAGGCGCCCTGAAAGTTCTTCGTAGGTTTGTCTTTAATAAGAAAAGTGTCTTTGAACACAAATCGTTCAAAACTGCTCCAGCCAAAATCTCTTCTTCAAATATTGAAGCTAATGTATTCATTTTCTGAACAAATTTAACTCGCCAAGGTCACGATGCAATTTAAAACTTTAAAAACTTGTAAGGTGTAATTTTTTATTATTCAGTATAAGAAGGACGTATAACGAAAGTAACGAAGGTTAAGATTATAGAAAGCTGTGTTTGAAACAGCCGAGAGCTACAATCATAGAATTGAATGCTTGATGAATAAAAAAAATTCAAGTCGTCTACTTTAATTTGTTCAGAGATATTTTTAGAAGTGAGAGATATTAGAATACAGCTTGATTGCCATAAAACAAAAACTCGTGCATCTTTGACGACTGAATGTCTAAGTGGTTCTCTCAGTTGTTATTTCTTAGTTTTCGTTGAAGGCCTTTCATCTTGGTCAGCTGAAATAAATTTTTTACGACAATGAGAGTCAACTGTTTGATTTAAAAACAAAGTTAGTCTTGTTATATTTTCTCGGATAAAAAGCAATTTTCCCCAAAAATTTAGCCGTAATGTTATTTGCATGTTTTCACGTCTCGCAGCTCATTTAATAGGAGAGCTGGTTAACGAAACTGCCGCAAAACAAGTCTGGATAACCTCTTGGATCGACACAGTTAATTGAAGCCAAACCGGAAAAACTGAAAGGACAAGTATTCGCCGCCACTAACAAAGATTATCGCTAAATTAGTTCTAGTTTTTTTTCAAGCAAAAACCAAGTAAACATTGAAAAATGTTACGTGTAGTTAGCAGTATTCATTAGTTTCTATATCACCTGGCGTTCGCAAAAGATAAACACATAAGGTGCGAGTAAAAATGGTACTTTTAATCAAGAAATTTCTCGTTGTGAGGAAAGAATCTTCAAAACGGTAATTTTACCATGACAAGGTCATCCATGAGGGCTAAAATCATTGAAAACCAAGTCATTACTGGTGCAAATGTGTTTACATATCATTAAGTACGCGACTAGATACGGGCAAGATAGCCGCATACTCAAAACACGTTTGACAAGTGAAGTACGGTTGACTGGTTCTGTTCTAAAAAAAGATCACTTTTGCTAGCTGTTATTAATTTTATGTGCATCCTAACCGCATAGTTAATATTTATAAGAATCTTTTGATTCGAGATAAGACCGCAAGAAAAGATTTTGCGGTGTAAGTGGGACGTCTCAGACTTTTTCACGAAGGCTGGAGTTATTTTCACCTTGTGGTTTTCGAAAACAGAGTTCACCTTCGTAGCTACTACAAGAGAAATAAGGTGGGTTTTGAACTTGAGAGATTTACACGAGATTTGAAATGACAATCCAATCAGATCGGCCGGATTTTCGAAGCAGTCGCAGATGTTTTAAGATCAAAGTTTCACTGATTTTGGTTACACCACAGATCAACTGAATTTACCATGGTGGAGAGTATTTTTGGAGGAAAAACTTCGTACCCACTAAACTGCCATGAAAGAAATGTTTTTCAGCCGCGACTAACAGAAAGACGGCTTTCCGTACAATCGACGCATTTGAACACAATCTCCGAAACTGGCGACGAGTGCCCGCCGTCCACCTACGCAACTAACGTTGAAGAAAACACAGCAAACGACGCCCCAATCTTTTACCGTCGACCTCGGACAATGTCCTTACCAGCGATCTACAGGGACGGCTCATATTTAAGAATTAAGCGCTGCTCAAATGCATTGAGCCCTTGTAAGCGCAGATATTCGGAGCCAGGTGGAATCGCGACGCAGCATATTATTCATCGCTTATCGCTACTTTCGAGTGACAGCAGTGAAAGTGAAAATGGCTTTTGCAAAAGAACCTCGGTTAAAAGCACGGAGGCAAGGTATTCGGTTCGCGAGAGCTGTCTTGCGGATGTAGTAACGCCTCGACGTCATTCTGATCCGATGTGTTACACGAGAGAAAACGTGGATCGATCAGGGGTTTCTAGAGAACGGCGAGGTAAATCGACAGGTAAGGAGTCAATTACATGCCTCAAAACGAAAAACTTATCAGACTGTGTCAAATCCAAAACGAGAATTGATAATGAACAGACTGGCCAACCTGTGAGACGGCGAAAGTCTTCGCTCGTCCCTGTGCCTTTTCACTCGACGCAGCACAAGACAAAAGAAGCTCAATCTAAGGTATCAAATAGCCGCCCTTTATCATTCCCTCCCAGCGAAAAAATCTACAATAGACGAAGTAGTCTACCATGTTTGAACAGACAGAGTGAAGCTGCAAAGGGAAGCGCCACAACTGCTGTTAACGCTAATGAATATCTTGTAAACGAAGAACTCCAAGAGCTGGATTCCGACGAATCGAAGGAAGACAAATACACTGCAAATGCAGACATTTTGGTTCAGTGGATGAAGTTTTTCGGCTGATCGTTTGAAATGCTTTACACACAGTGCCGTGAAACAAAACAATCATTAATACTGACAAATGACAATAAATGGTTTTTAGTTTTTCTGTTTTTAAACCATTCATTCAAATGAGAATCCACTGAAGACGATGAATTGTTTGTTTTGTAATAAATAATTAGAACTAAGAAAAGTATTTCCGACCTGATCATTGTCTTGTGTCTTGTTTGCCTAAGAAATTTGAATGTTATCTGACTGGCTTTTTGGAAGCAAGGAATCGGAAGTTGTTTTAATTGTGCTTTGGTGCGAACGACCGAGGACTGAAGAAAAACAAGGGGAAGGAGACGAAGAAACGGGTTCTTAAATTATTACTAATCACTGATGCAAATTTAAGCGAGTAATTTTACGACACCCGCCAGAAATTTTTCTTTGTTTAACAATAGCTGGAACAGCTCAGAAGAATTGCTTCCTTAACGCTTTCTTATCGCATTAAAGACCACAAACAAACAGCCTCAAAACGTTTAACAAACACACTGACTCGTCAACCTCCAAACTCCATCATTTTCAATCTCAATACCCAACTCTGGTCGAGTTCAAGGGAGTTCTTACATCATGAATTAGATACAAAACGAATGGAGAGAGTCGAAAGTATTTACTAATAGACTACGTATCACTCGAGTATTCAGAAACGCAAAACTACGAAGACACCTTCAGCTATTGTTATAAATAATGCACATTTGACCGAGAGAAGTTTCAGTCAGAATATTTATAACACCTTACGAGAATACCTTGAAGAGAAACAGCTGCCAGAATTAAAAAAAAAAAAAGAGGAATGAAGTAAATATAGAAGAAAATAAGGTTATCACTGACATAAAGGGCATATTTAGATGTTATTTTCATCTTCTATGTCGGATACGGTGTTACGAGCTTCTTTTAAGATGCTTTTAAAACAGTATTCCACAGTTTAAATTAAATAAGATTTTTATCAGTCGCTGTTGCCACTGATGTTTTTGCATACATAAAGACGGCTTTCAATTATTAAGTTTTAGATTAACATCGATTTGAGGCAAATTAGCGATTCGCTGTCAAAACAAAATTATGTTTATAATTACTCCTTGGCGCGCAGTGCTAAAAAGCTGTAAAAGGTTCCTTTCCCTGTTGGAAATCGCAGGATCAAAACAAATTATTGAAAGCCTCAGCAGGTTTTTTATTCATTGGTCACCTTGTCATGAGTAAAAATAAAAGTTGCCTTTGTAACAGGAAAGAGACATTTGCACCTTCCGATAGATTCTTTTATTTGTGTTTTTCTCATTATTTCTCGGTCAAAGCAGTTTCGCCCTCATTGTGAAGATCTCTTCTTAGTGGACAAAAGTTAATTTTATGGTTTTGTTTCCAGTTAATCATTCGCAACACTAGTGGAGGAGTTAAATGTCAAATTTCACAGCACGGCAAGAGTAGAAAAAATTTTAATCACACCTTCCACAATACTAGCAAGTTATTTTGGCATGAGTTATCGACGGTCATTTTGCAAATGAATGAAACCATATCGGACTCCTACAACAAACAATAAAAAAATCATCGATAGAAACAGATCAATATTTATCTTTTCATTGTTTTGAATTAAAATTGAGACACCACAGATTTTGGTTTTTTTTTTCCTTTTTTTCTTTTACCACAAAGCCACTTTCGAATGTTTTACGATTACCTTAGTTGTCCTGGTTTCATTTTTTGTTTTTTTTTTAATGAGAAAAAAATCATTCCTTTATATTCTATCTATAAAATTTAATTTTGATTTTCCCTGGGGTCTGAGTTTGCTTGGCACCATTTGCGCTAGTAACCGACCAACATATTTGCTGAGTTTGTTTGCGGCTTTTTGTACTGATTGAAAATTTGGGAAAATGTACTTAAGAAAAACATATCAACATTGAAAAAATGTATTGATGCGACAAAATGACTTTGATAACAAAGATATCAAGGATAATTTGCAATTTTGCGTGATTCTATCCTCTCCACGCAGTACACCTGTAACATAGCGGTAGCCATATGATAATGGTTTCAACTGAGCTCTGAAATAATTCATAATACTACATGCATACTTTGACAGATTTTGCAAACTATTTCTAAACGATAGAATTCTTGGCAATTTCGAGTCAAAGACGACAAACGACATGAAAAAACAAACAAACAGACCAACGAACACCATGAGCTTTAAAAAAAAAAAAAACGAATGAAAAAGCATGGGAGCTTCTTTTCAGGTGGCTGTTATAAAATGGTGGCCTGTCGTAACATCAGCGATAATTTAAGACATGGTGCAGGTCAATCAAGACAGTCATTGACTCGGGCCTTTCTCACACTTGTTCATGGTTCTAATGCTGCACACCATACAAGAGAAGTTGTGCAACCGAGTGCCACTATCACTCGATTTATTCGCCAAGTAATACACACACCGGCTTTTCAGGCTGTTTCGAAAAAAGGTTATCCCGTGCAAAAAGACACTCAATTTCTCTTACAAATAATTGATACAACACAAGCAAATAGGCACAGCATTAAAAATATATCAACCGAAGTTGTACATTCAATTAAAAAAGAAGACGTAAACACACTGTATTCTTTAAATAACCAATATCAACACTACGCCGCATGCCTGACTAAATCTTCTTTATCCTCATGGACAAAAATTGAACTGTTCACCAGCGATAGCAAAGACAAATCAAGACATTTTTCGAAAAATTATCTGCTAAAAGACCACCAACCCTGCTAAATCACCTGCGCAAAAACATTCTCAAGATTTGACCCTCAAGCCGCAAAACGCTACCACACGTACGCGCAGTAAGCGTGCGAGCCGCTTACATGCGAGCTCGCAACTCGCAAACAAAAGATGACCTTGGTTGAATTATGGTCAGTTATGTCTTCAACAAAAATTAAAGTTTGTCAAGTGCCCTTTGCTTGACTACGATCAACATATATCTTTTCATAAAAATTTTAATTCTTGGCAAATTTATCACGGGTTGCACAACAAGACTGAGGATCGTTTGTACGTCAGTTCCTATGCAACTCCAATCCGCGCCAGTCGCCAGCCTGTGTACCCTCAGCGAAAGATAAGTGTTGCTATAGAAACGCGAAACCTAAGCCAGTGACATACTCGAACTCTTTGTTATCAACAGGAAATTTATATCGGACCCCTTTCGAAACAAATTTGAAAAGCTTTAGAGGTTGGATTGAAATTAGCTTCGAAAGTTAAAAGTAGTCAGTTTTTGTAGGCTAGTTAACAGTTGGGTTACAGGGATGAAGACTCTTTTGCTTACAAAATTGTGCAAATTCAGGTGTGATTTAGGAGCTCTACTGGCTGATCCGGCTGAATGAACGGCTGGTTAAGATGACAGTTCCGCTAAGCCACACTACAATAACTTTCATTCAGATGCAAATGCCAACTCAGCAGGAGAGTGCACGTGAAGTCTAACTTTCAAAGTGTTGACCTTCCAGGAGTACCTGTCTCAAAGATCTCAACGGTTAATCACATAAGCAAGCACCTGCTCCTGCATCACATTAATCAGCCCAGTCCTGCCTGAGCTGAATTGCTATTTGCTAGCGCTTTGGTGTATCAATTTCCGCCGTCTGTCACTGTTTTGTCTGTTTTGTTTTATGCTATTATGATTAGTGAAGAGAATAATCTCTTAACTTATTCACCTAATAAGGTACCCATTGTATCTTCATCCAGTCTGTTGCATAATGTCTGGTGAATCCCAGTGATTGATTCATTGCAATTTTTTTCACTTTTCTTCTTCCCATAAACTTTGCTATACCTGACCATTTCGTCTCCGAACAAGAGACGAGTCTGCAGGACTCTAAAGGACTTAAAAGAATGGACTCGACATCGATTCATTTTCCGGCTTCTTCTTTTGCTATCGCAATTGCACAAAGAAAACAACAACAACAAAAACAACTTCAGCAACATAAAAGAACGACAACTTTTTCCTTATCAAGAATGTCCCTACATTGACTTTCTCAATCAAATTTCTCTGATACTTTGTTTGATGAGTTGCCATATTCGTCCAGGTCCACTGCATTAAATGTTTTTACAACTAGCAATCGTAAATGAGCAAAGTTTGTTCCCGTTTTTGTCTTTTGCGGAACGTTCATTAGCTGATATTTACCATCCTGCTCAAGTTATGGGGTTCAACCAGTACCTTCATAACCGGAAGTAAAAACTCACAAAAGGCCGCAATGCACGCTAGTTCGAATTAGGAAGCTCTGATAAACACACGTTACTTTTCCCAGAAAACGACCCCGCGTCGATCGAAGCTCCGACTTCATTTACATTTTGCATTTGGCTAGGTAATTTCTGTGAAGGGACTTTCAAATGGCCCAAACTAACCTTCCAACATGGCTTCAAGTAGGTGAGAAAATAGTAAATATCCAACAGCGACTTGGTAACGGCGCTTTTGGTGTCGTCTACAAAGTAAAAGAAGAAGGAACGTCCAAAGTGTACGCTATGAAAGATATCCTTTGTTTGAATGATTCAGCCATTCTTAATGCCATCCGCGAAGCTTCAACACTAAACCGAATCTCTCATGAAAATGTTATTGCGATCGTGAGTGTTGGCGAGTTTCGCGATAGCCGAGGTTCGCACATGTTGCTTTTGACCGAGTATTGCCCAGGCGGAAGCTTAAATGATCGCCTTGCTCGACCAAGCAGCGACCAACAAAATCTGACATGGATGACCCAAACCGCCGAAGCTGTTGCCCATCTTCACTCGTGCAACGTAGTTCACCGCGATCTGAAGGCAGATAATGTACTCTTGACTGCATCAGAAGATGTCAAATTGGGCGACTTTGGCCTTGCCCGTGAGTACATCGCACTAAAACGAGCTAGCGTGCAACAAGATGATGGTTCGTGGCTGACAACTTACACGCAATACTACATGCAATCGGGAACAGGTCCAATCCACTGGGTAGCTCCAGAATTTTTCCGCGGCCATTACACTGAAAAAGCCGACATTTTCTCTCTCGGAACGCTCCTCTTTGCAATACTCGAGCGGGATTACATCGTGATCAACAGGAAAGCCATTTACGGGGCCTTCGTAAGTGTTCCTGGTATAGGGAAGTGTGGCGTCGGCTTTGCGATGGAGAATTTTGATAGGAATATACGAATTCAATTTTCAAGTCACGCTCAAGGATCCAACGCTCTACAGGGAAACGTTCATGAGTTGCTGAAATACAACCCATATGATCGGCCGACCGCTCAAGAGATTTGCAACCATTTGAGAGTTATTCAAGAGAATATAGGACTTGGACAGTCTTCGACTGATTCGCTTCTAAGCGTATATATGTAACTCTACCGAACAGGTGTAATGTCATTTCCGTACCTTGGTACATGACCGGACAAGAAACTTAGAAGAGAACTTAAAAACTATACATGTAACACTTGTCCTTTAAAGTAAAGCGTTGCCACATGATTGTTAGGTGCAAGATTAAGTTACAGAAATTAAGGTAAGAGGCATGCAAATAAGAATTTCAGGAATATATCTTGGCTGTGAGTTTCTAAAGGACATGTAAGCGTCTTGTCAACATCGCTACATCACAGTCCTTGTCAACATCGCTACATCACAGTCCTTGTTGGCCCTTTTCTTTTAATCAACGTCTACTACAATCTCTCGAACTAGTCGAAGAAAATGTAAAGAGGTATTTAATCTATAGAAACTAAAACAAGTGACGGAACGTGGGGATCGATCGAGATCGTGCACTTATCCCTTGAAGTTTCACTATAATTGTGCGCCGTGGAATACAAGAGAATTCTCAGCAGAAAGTTCGTTCGTATCATGTTTCGATGGTTCGGTCGGGTTCTAAAGTTGAGCAATAAATTTTCTATGAAATGACTGGTTTTTTTTTCACTTTTGATGCCTAAATACAGAGAAAGTGAAATTCGCTACATAATGTAAGATCGACATAAGTTGGTTTCACGAGTAATTTCTGAGAAACGTTACACTGCAATTCGTGTCTGAGATAAGAACCTTTTCAAATAAAATGCTATCTAAGTCTGGCATCTGAGAGTGTGAATAGAATTCTTCCTTGTAAGGATCTTTAGTTGATAAACCTGGGCAAATGCAAGACCAGGGAAGTTACGGATTACGAAATTCTTGGAAACATAGCTTGAAGTATGGGCTGTGTTACAGGAATTTTGGAAGCCCATGATTTCCACGCTTATAGCCAGTTGTTTGTGCTTTGTTTGGTGTTTTGTTCATAGCACTCTCCTTCAAGTTCTTAATAAACATAGGCATGTGCAGCATGCAAGAGCTATTTTCTCGGCTGGGTAGGTTGAGATGGGACACTTTGTGTACCTGATGTTTTCATTTTTGAAACTAAAAAAGAGCATAACTTTCAAAGAATTAGAATATCACATTACTTCACTTTAAGAGAGAGAAATCCAAATACTTCTAAGCAAACTAAAATGCATTGGTGTCACGCTTACTGTTGTCTCCTTCCCAGCTGTTGCTTGGTCTCGTCACACAACGCCATCTATTCCTCTTTGGAGAGAGAACGCGCTTTGCGTGACGAGGCTAAGTAACGGTTGCGAAAGGGAATACGCTTACTGCCGTTCCTTTAACAGTGAGAAGATCAAAATTATTCGCCTCGAAAGTATAATTCCACGTACTCTTACCACGAAAAGCAAACTGAAACTCTGTTGTATCTCCAATATCCAAAGATATATTGCGATCTCGAATAAGTGAAGATACATTTGAGAATTGCGTGGAAAATTCACTATAAGAAACATTTAGTTCCATGTGAATCTATTTCAGCGGGGTTGGACAATGCAGTTAGAATACGTGATTAAATTCAGGTTGTTTACAAGGAAATGACACGTAGTGGAGCGAAGGCTAAAGTGGCAAAATGGAATTTGATCGGTGCAATAAAATTCAAGCACGTGAAAAATTGGCTAATGTTCATGTGGTGCAATGATTGGGTATGTTCTGACTGGACTTTTCGTGTTACTTGATGGAATGTAACTTGTTTGGCGTGTACGTTGTGGGTAAAGGAACGGGAAAACACTTTTTGACTTAGAAATGATGCAAAAGTTAAATGCGAACCTTTCATATCCCGATAAATCTCGAAGTTAGTCGACGAGGTTCTCACGAAGGCCACAAACCATTACACTTATCAAATGGGACCAAAATTTCTGGTTACTATCATTCTTTGTGCACAGCTTCCTGATTCCATGACATCATTGGCAAGAACAAAATACCCAAACGTTGTGATTAGTGCAAGATATCCAAATGCTATGATATGATTGGTGCGAGAAACATACCCCAATGCGGCAATCTGATTAGTGCGAGATACATACCCTAATGCAACGATCTGATTGGTGCGAGCAACATGCCACTCTACAAGCTAGCATAGAGTTTTTTTTTTTAAGAAAAAAAATAACTCAAATATACATTATGGGTACTACTACTTCCTAAATGGAAAGGGATAATTAAGAACAAACTAACATCAGAAATAATCGGTTTTAGCTCCTACCTTCAAGCAAACCCTGCAATGTAGCATATTTGCCCTGACCGAAAGGTGCTAATCCTGTTTACTATATTTAACAGACAAATGATCATTTACTTCACAGAACATTTACTTTGGATATGAATTCTCGGAAAAAACATTGCATCTTAAGACTAGTGGGGGGGGGGGAGGGTCTTTTGTTTACAAAGGCTGATCCCTAATTAATCCCTACCAAGGCAACTAAAACATGATCAAGCTTTGAATAACGATACTGTAAGACTTCCTCTCTTGGATATACAACAGTTAAACTCGTGCACAATCAAACTATCGCCTTCATACCGAGTACTACTGAAATAACACCACCCCTGTACGTTCCCATAAGTCAAATCAATTGCCAAGTTCGTTTTTCCGAGAAATCAGACCCAACTATTTCGCAGCGGCTAAACTCGTTGTTTCCATCAAATTGACTTTTTTAGATAAAGAGAACAGTTGTGGCCTGTAAAACGCGAAATGCAACAAGCCTGGATTGATCTTCCCCTAAGACTGCATGTAGGCGACGAAACAGTAAAAGTCGAACAGCACCTTGGTAGTGGTGCATTTGGAATGTCTACAAAGTGAAAGACGAAGCGGGCTCTGAACTCTATGCCTTAAAAGACGTCCTTTGCTTAAACGTTTCACAACGTCTTAATGCAATCCGTGAGGCAGAGACACTGCACAAAATCTCCCACGAAAACATCATTGCCACAAAGGGAGCAGGTCGGTTCGTCGACAATCAACACAACTTGCACATGTTGATTTTTACAGAGTATTGCGCGGGTGGAAACTTAAACGAACGCCTTGCTCGACCAAGCTCTGAACGAATCAACTGGAAGTGGATGAGTCAAGCTGCTGATGCTGTGGCCTACCTTCACTTAAACGGCGTGATTCACCGCGACCTAAAACCGGAAACGTAATTTGAACAGACGTGGAAATGTTAAACTAGCCGACTTTGGCCTGGCTCGCGAGTATATCGCACCAAGACGAGTTGACACGCGAAGAAACGATGGCTCGTGGATGCAAAAGGTCCCACAAAACTACATTGACTACGAAGTTGGCACAACGTACTGGTTAGCTCCTAAATATTTCACGGATCACTACACAGAAAAAGCCGATGTCTTTTCCCTTGGCCTGCTGTTTTTTGCCATCCTACAACGGGATTACATAGAAAGCAACGGAAAAGCGTATTACGGTGCATTCAACGTATTCGCGGTGTTTGAAAAGTTGGCCGTGGGGTTGCAATGGCAATGTACAATCCAGGAACTGACATAGAATTTTCAACGCGCACAGGGTTCCAGGGATGTACAGTGGTTAGTCACTGAGGCTTTGTTGAGACGAGCTATGTGATACGTTTGAAGACTTAGGTCTAGAATGGCTCTTTAGTCTGAAGTTACATCTGGGGGAGCAATCGTCGTTTTGAACGATAAGGTGTGGATTGCTCAAGAAACATTTTTTTTCGGTGAAATTCTTGCACGAATTTTACCCTTACGAAAAGGGTGAACAGGGTTTATTGATGATCTTTTCTTTCTCGTCAGCTAGCTTTGCATCAACTCTTTTATAAAAAAATTTTTCATGCTCGAGTTCAAGTTCCCTTAATTTTTCCAACCACTCCCGAGCCTTTTCTTCGGTTCGCCCCAACCTGTACGTGGTAGATTATATAGGAGATGAAGAACGTTCTCATACATTCACATAATTTGCTATTGTAAAGTAGCACTACTTTACTGATGTGAAGACTGAGGCAGCGAAAATTGAGTCAAGGTTAAGAAGGTAAACGAAACGTCCTTTTCAGTTTTATGCAGGTTTCAAGTATACAACGTTTTGTATTAAATGAACAAAATTGATCAAACGTTCTGTAGTTCAGTCACGTAGTGCATGACTGAGGTCTCCTGGTCTTCACATTTCGTTTCAGTGAGACCAGACTGACCTTTAAGATACAGATGAATTCAGGTGATAGTTTTCCTAGTCTTTCCTAACTCTGTAGGGATTCATTCTCATAAAATCCTTCGTTACAAACTCGAAAAGGTTCGCAGCACTGACGGAGTCAACAAGTTCCAGTAATAAGGTAGTTGACGCTTTTCCAAGCCATATGGAAGATACCTTCGAACTCAAATGAAAATGCAGAATTCAGTGTTAGGACCTAAATAGTGGTGTATAAGGACTTGCCATAAGTCTCGTCGTTTGAAATAATTATCATGGCCACATGAAAATGTTCATCGTCTTCGTCATATTTGCATGACTAGTAATCGCTTAAAATTTCACGGCATATCAACAGATGGTTTATTTACATGACTTAATGCTGATTCAATCGATTATTTCAATGTAGCAAAAACTCGTTCAAACTTCAGGTATGATCAAGTTCAAATAAATAGTGTGTCTGTTTTTCCTGTGGTTTTGCACGTTTCATGACTATTACTTGGATCTCAAAATGTTTGCCTTCATTCCCAATTGCTGAAAGTGGAAATCACTTCTATGATATCAATTCAATTCTCGGAAACGCATTTATCGAAAAATCAAGATTGTTCCGAGAAAGTAACTTCCGATCAACCGAGCCGGAAGTGATTTATTGGATGATCTAGTGTTTCCCAGAAATACGTGAGGGAACCATCGTCAACTTGCATCCCATGACTTAACTCCCCCATAACACACAATTAAGAGTATACCCTATAGGTACAATTGAAGTACGGTGTCAAAGGATATTACATAAATGAACTACCCTATAGTAGTAGAGATGCACAATCTAGTTGCAAGCCAAGTTCCAAGCAATTCAATTTTCCGAAGGAACTATGGCAATGATGCAGCAAACAGCCGCTACTTCTTTTCCAACGACATTTCAGTGTGGAAACATGTGGTTAAGAACCCAAGAAAGGCTTGGCAGTGGAGCGTTTGGTGTCGTCTACAAAGTACAAGACCTGGCAACTTCCAACTTCTACGCGGTAAAATCAATTCTCTGTCTCAATGCTTCGGTTCTTCAAAACGCGGTCCGCGAGGTCGAGATGCTGAAACAAATCTCTCACCCAAATATAATTGCCATACTGGGGACCGGGCAAGTTAACGGTACTCAAGGCTACTTACATATGTTTCTTTTGACAGAGTACTGTCCGGGAGGAAACTTCAACCAACGGCTCCCCTCACCGAGCACCAACCAAATGAATTTGAAGTGGATGAAACAAATGGCCCATGCTATCGCCTACCTCCATTCGCGTAACGTGGTTCACCGCGATTTGAAGCCAGATAATGTGCTCTTGACTGCGACAGAGGATGTCAAATTGGGGGATTTTGGTTTGGCACGCGAGTACATCGCACTTACTCAAATCCAAGGTTATGCTCAAAATATCTTCACAGCATACTACATGCAATCAGAGCTTGGAACAAAATACTACATGGCTCCGGAAGTATTCAGCACTCACGGTTATAGCGCAAAGGCTGACGTCTTTGGCCTTGGAGTGCTCCTTTATGCAATCCTCGAGCGTGATCATGTCATAACGGGTGGGAAAGCATACTACGGAGCCTTTGTTGCTATTCCAAATTTACCGGAAAGAATTGGCCTTGGATTTGCTTTGGAAACTATAAACCGTTTCTTTATCATTGGGTTTTCTAGTTCCTCTGACTATTTCGGCTCTCTCCAAATGTTAATTCGCCAGGCCTTGAATTACGATCCGCATAATCGACCGACTGCTCAACAGGTTTATCAAAGTCTCGTGGCCATTGAGCAACGTTTCAACGAGAACTATAACACTTTGTAAACAGAGAAAAGGAACGAATATCCTGAAATGGAGTCAAGTTACTTTGAACTTAGCAATAAGACTGTTTATTGAAGACTCTTTCGAAGCGAAATGAAACTTGAAATAACAAGAATTATTAAAAACAGTGACTATCAAAGGATGTTAAAACTCTTCTGTGACATATATCACGTTTAATTCAACATGTTGACCTAAGCAGTTGAGGTAGTAGCCACTGATGAGCTATAAAAGCATAATAAATGTTTTTCTTGAGCAAAAGGAGCTGTTATAGCGGCGGCGAAATCTCTCATCGTTTGAAATGGTACTATGATGTATCTTCTTCTCTCTTCACTAGGGTGACCAGCTAAGGCTTACATGAAATACGAACAGTTTACGTACATCACTTAATGCTAATCTAAGAAATGATCTCAACGCAGAATTGCTTATTAAAACTGTGGTTATCAAAAATATACTTTTCTGAGTTTCTAAGTTGTTTCCTTAACAGATATATATGCAACATAAATACTGATCGTGTCTCACCATGTTTGCTTTCATTTCCATTTGCCTGAGGCAAAGCCTGAAGTGGTAATCACTTCCTTTGATATGGATTCAATTCTTGGAAAACGCGATATGTATTCGTTTCGTAAGTTCTTGCATGGACAACTTATTTTCAAGAGATAAATCTCAAAACATATATATTTATGTGGACACACCTCAGTAACTCGTGAATCACAACTCTCAAGCTGAAGTATTCACGTTCACAAACAAGGAGGTTATTCCTAGAAATTGAACTTTAACTATGGTGTAATTTGATGATAATTCGTCCCTTAATAAAGTCCAATCCTATGCATAAATTTCTTTCGGTGGCTTAGTGTAGAGAGACACTGTTTCACAACGGATGGCCCATGCAATTGTGTCAGCCAACCGTAAAGAGCTTCAATACCACGCAATTCAAAATGAAGAAATTTTTGTGGAGCCGTCATAGAATTCCAGAACAGAATACTTCACAAAGATCTGCTAAAACTTAGAATGAGTACAAGAGTCATGTCTGTGATCTTTCAGCCTTACTGGATCGAGTAATTGGCAAAGAGCTCAAACTAAAGTTGGGGTAACCCAAAATGGAAGTAAATTTAAACACGCAAAGAAGGCTCTAACTTCAGTTCAACTGAGTCACAGTTAGATCAGACTGAGCTAGCAAAGTGGAAATTCTCTCTACATGACCTTGCCTTTGTTGCTTGTCTGAAATATAGCTTTCGAGAAAACAGGTAGATATTAACAATTTAGCAAAAAATAATTACTCCACTGTGCAAATGACCAAAATAACAAATTCCATTGCAGTCACTGCAGCGTGAAAGCGCTGGAAGAAAGACGATAGTATGTAGAAAAAAATACTTCCTAAATGGATAGGGATAATTAAGCACAAACTAACATCAGAAATAATCGGTTTTAGCCCCTACCTTCAGGCAAACCCTTCATTGTAGCATATTTGGCCTGACCGAAAGGTGCTAATCCTGTTTACTATACTTAACAGACAAAATGATCAATTATTTGACAGAGCTTCAGTAGGAAAGCCCGAGTCTTAAAATGCAGGCCGTTCTTAGGCGCCAAAAGGGGGTCATAGTCCCAGGCGTTCCTTGCGTAAACCGTGGAAACTGGGGATGAGAGAGCAGCAACTTGGGTTACTATGTATACGCTCTTCGTACACAACATAAATTTACAGAATGCTGTGTTTTATGAAGTCCGCTTTGCAAAGATTCCTGCCTTATACGCACATCTCAGATACAAATGCACACGCTTTTCGTGGTAGGCCCACACTAAATGATGTCGAGCGTTTCGGAATGGGCCGGTCCACGAACTCTCTAGCTGAAAAGCCAGGCAAATGCGCAAAGTTCATACTAGTTCTCACGAGATAACAAATGACCCATATGCGAGTTCAAACTTCGAAATACTGGCAAAACTGTGACAGCCGATTTAACAACAAACTATGATGCTGAGACGAACACCTCAGTTGCTGAGAAAATCAAGAATGTTCGTGAACACAACTTCGAAGGTGGCGCTAACGACAGCGAATTAGATAAGGATACTGACAGAATTAAGCAACTTGAATGGTAAGGTTGAATATCTGAGCTTAGCTCTTCCGTTAAATATCCTGTTTCTGTTATTGGTTTTTATTGGGTTCAATACTTGTAAAGTACGATTTGGTATTTCTTACACAATCACTATTATTGTACAAGCGAACGTGAATACTCTTGGTGACTGTGACCTACAAGAAAAAGTTGTCAATATGACTAATGTACATGAACATAATGATGTTACAGTGTCAATAAAAGTAAAACAATTCAGATCTCGTTGTTCAACGTCTGTATATTATAATCGTACTCGTGTTGTGTGTGAATGCCATGGCTATAAACGTGATCGTGAACCAAGCAGAGTACTAGTGAGGATGTTAAAACGTCTCTCTCAGAAAATTAGAAAACTGCTAAGTTATGTACGGAGCCGTTTAGGTAAAAACGTACCAAAGTCATCGAAAGTCCATGATCTTATTAAAAATAATGCAACATGAAAAAAAAACAAGAATCAGGTTTGTACAAAAAAAATGAGAACGAAACCAATTTTTAGAACAAGAAATGTTAACTCTTCGATGAGATATGTTACAGTTCAAGTAGAGATAAACATGGAAAGAAATATCTCAAATACTTAAGGTTCCTTTTGTGTAATTTCCCATATAGTGAGTACAAAGGTGTAACTCACAGAGGAAATTGTACAAAGAACAAGCTCTATAATGATATAGAGAAAACCCAGTTCCTTGTATGCACCTTGTGGATCCCAGGAAAACAATAAAAGCACCATATAGCCAAGGGGATGTGGTTGTATTTGGACAAAACCCTGGGCAACAATGTGTTGCAATGAGTTTATTTGCATTAATGTACCACAATATGAAAGGAATAGGCAATCCCAATGACTTGAAACAAATAATGCATATTGGAAATCAACTATATAGCAGTTTGTCACAATTATTAAGACAATCATTTTTACTGCTAACAGATTTACCATCAATGCTTACAGTACTAGAGGAAGATTATCAGCTAGAATACATTATAACATAACTGGTAAATTTGTCTAATCAAATTCAGTTGCGTGAGCATGCTTCATATTCCTATTGTGCACGCTCTTGATGTCAGCAAACAAATCCCTTGAGAAAAAAAATTTTCCATGGGGTTGAAAATGTTATAAAATAATTGGTTCATACATCATCTGTGCATTCATCGAGATATGAAGCACTTGGGAAGTTTGGAGAGCACTCAAGAAGCTGGAGTTGCACATCTTTCATGCTCTCCAAACTTCCTGCGTGCTTTATATCTCAATGAACGCACGCTGACGTATGAACCAATTGTTAAGTGAAAGTTACCTTGGTAATGTCCATGGTGAGCCTACCATTGAGGGATATCAATACTGTATGGGCCTGAAGAGAGCTTTTGAGTCATTGATATCAGAATGATATAGGTCATATATTTTAGTGGTTGGATGCATTGCTGTGGGTATTATTTACTGTGCTGATAATGGCCATTTTAAAGTGTTTGACTCACAAGCTAGAGATGTTTATGGTAAAAGTCACACTCCAGGGACCTGTGGTCTATTAGATATATCTACAGACAACTTAGCGCATCACTTTCAAAGTTTATATGGAGCAACTGATCTGTATGAACTCAGTAAAAGGTTAACAAATTGCAAAATATGATGTGGCAATTAGCAGCAATGTAAGAGAGGTATTAAAGAGATATCAAGTCAACACAAGTGTTTAAAAGTCCACTGTTTTGCAGTAGTTCTTTATTCTACCTTACTTAATCATTTCACCTTGTAATTACTAGAACCCAAATACCTTAAATGCAATTATCAAAAATGGATCTCAGCTTAACAATACAATACAGAGTAAGTACTGCTTAATATCTGTTACCCTGCTTGACAGTGTTACAATTTTTGGCACTAACATAAATGTACACATTAATGAAGTAAGTCACAGAGAATCAAGTAATTTAACTGAAAGCAGAATATCTTAAGAGACCTTGATCTCAAGGAACCACACTGGGAAAACAAGCTTTTTAATGTGGATTTCAAGTTACTGTATAGCTTTTATTTATCTACAAAATACAAAAGTAAAGCAATTGTTTTCTCCTCTGACATATGAAGACAGTCATTCACCTGCAATGAAACAGACAATACACGTTTGTGGTGTAGATAATCTAGTAGAGGAAATTAATAATATTATTCAAAATAAACAGGAATGTCAGACTATGGAATATGATATACAATTTATTTGCTGTTCATGTAAAATTACTGAAATTGAAAGGAAACGCATCTTGAGAAAACACAGAAAAAAAACATATGCATGACAGCATGGAACCTGTTACCAATTGGTGTATTCCGTATTGTTTTCTGTATTGCCAGCTATTCAATCAATCAATCAAGCTCAGTTGCTTGGCAAAGCAGTAGTTGTAACAATAATCATTGGAGATTTTATCTTAACTTGAGTATCCCATGAACAAAATAAAAGAGAAACATGTTTCATACATTTGTACAAGGCCATACAGATTGATGAGTGGGATAACATCATGATTATTAATAATTGAAAAAAATAAACAAGTTTCTGGCTGAAACAAATTTTGGCAGTTGCATTAATGTGTATGTACTGATGCCTTGAATGTTAATTATTTTGCAAATAAAGCAAGTTACCTTAAGTATCAAACTTAAAAAAAGTATTCTTTTGTTAGAGAGGCCTGTGGTTCTGGACAGAGGTTTTCTGCAAGTATTTACTCTTTGAGGATAATCTAGTAGAGGAAATTAACAATATTATTCAAATAAACAGGAATGTCAGACTATGGAATATGATATACAACTTATCTGCTGTTCATGTAAAATTACTGAAATTGAAGGAAACACATCATGAGAAAACAGAGGAAAAAAACATGTGTATGACAGCATAGAGCCTGTTGCCAAAGAAAGGTTTCTAGAAGACATTTAAAGAAAATATTTAGCTATGGACGCTAGAAAGAAGAAAGGATTACTTTCTCAACTCAATGAGAAATTAGTGAAAGCCAGATCAGTTGAATTGTGTATTAACCAGTTTAAGACGAAAATAAGAGAAGGCCCTCATTTTATATGTACAGCCTTTCTGTACTGTCTGTAATCGAATACTTTATAAGAAATCAGTAATTACATGCCTAGACAAGAAGTACCCTTGCCAAACATATTTCAATATTCAACCATCATTTTATGGAAAACAGTATATATGCAACACATGTCATTCAAAGGTCATAAAAGGAAATTTACCGTGTCAGGCTGTAGTGAATGGGAATATGTATGTGGATGAAATACCCACAGAACTATCCTCATTAGAAAAACTACGACAAATACGAATAGCTCAACAAATAATATTTGAGAAGATTGTGGTCAAGCGCAATGGACAACAGAGAAAAATTAAGGGTGCAATATGCAATGTACCTGTAGAATGTGATCAGACATGTAATCAACTCCCTCATCCACCTGATAGATCTTGTATAATAATACTTATTTAGCTTAAAAGAAAGTTACAATCTAGAGGACCAGAGTTAATACAGCAAGTTCTTAACTGGCTCAAAGTACATAATCATTGTACAAAGATATACTAGTTGATATTAACAATATTGATAGCAGCCTCACAACTTTATAAAATGATGCAGACGATAATGATACACATCAACAAGCTACATCAAACAATGTAACAACAGATAGTGGTCCCGCATTGGAGTATGATCGATGCAAGAGAAAATGATAAATTAAATAGTAACGAAGAAGAAAATGATGACCCCTTAAATGAATATAGAGCCCCAGTATGCGAGACATGCTTAGATTCAATTATACCAAACTATCCAGCGGTGAATGCTCAAGTAAAACGCTCGATACGAGGCCCAAGTGAACACTACTCGATCGTCTAGGTCTGGATATGAATTCTCGGAAAACATTGCATTTTAAGACTGGGGTGGGGGGTTCTTCCGTTTACAAAGACTCATCCCGAATTAATCCCTACCAAGGCAACTAAAACATATCCAAGCCTTAAATAACGATACTGTAAGACTTCCTCTATTGAATATACACCAGGTAAATTCATGCACGATCAAAATATCGCCTTCATACCGAGTACCACTGGAATAACACCACCCCTGTAAGTCCCCTTGTGTTGACTCAATTGGCAACTTTGTTTTTCCGAGAAGTCAGAACCAACTGTTTCGCAGCGGCTGAACGCGGCGTTGTGTTCGTCAAATTGACATTTCAGATAAAAATAAAAAGAACAGCTGTGGCCTAAAAAACCCGAAATGCAACAAGCCCGGATTGATCTTCTCCCAAGACTGCGTGTGGGCGACAAAACAGTGAGAGTTGAACAGCACCTTGGTAGTGGTGCATTTGGAGATGTCTACAAAGTAAGAGACGAGGCACGCTCGAAAGTCTATGCCTTAAAAGATGTTCTTTGCCTAAACGCTTCACAAGTTCTTGATGCAATCCGTGAGGCAGTAACACTGTGCCAAATCTCTCACGAAAACATCATCGCCATAAAGGGAGCGGATCGGTTCGTCGACAATCAAAACAACTTGCACATGTTGATTTTGACAGAGTATTGCGCGGGTGGAAACTTAAACGAACGCCTTGCTCGACCAAGCTCTGAACGAATCAACTGGAAGTGGATGAGTCAAGCTGCTGATGCTGTAGCCTACCTTCACAGAAATGACGTGGTTCACCGCGACCTAAAACCGGAAAACGTACTTTTGAACAGACGTGGAAATGTTAAACTAGCCGACTTTGGCCTGGCTCGTGAGTACATCGCACTTAGACGAGTTGACGCGCGAAGAAACGATGGCTCGTGGATGCAAATGTTCGTACAATACTATATGGACTCCGACGTTGGCTCGCCGTACTGGTTAGCTCCTGAATGTTTCACAGGTCACTACACAGAAAAAGCCGATGTCTTTTCCCTTGGCCTGCTGTTTTTTGCCATCCTAGAACGAGATTACAAAGAAAGCAACGGAAAAATGTATTACGGTGCATTTAAACGTATTCGCGGTGTTGGAAAAGTTGGCCTTGGGGCTGCAATGGCAATGTACAATCCAGAAACTGACATAGCATTTTCCAGACGTGCACAGGGTTCCAGGGATGTACAGAGGTTAGTCATCGAGGCTTTACAGTACGATCCTGATGATCGACCGAGCGCTGTCGAGCTATGTAATAAGTTAGAAGAGACTGAAGACTTGGATCTGGAATGGCTCTTTAGGCTCTTAAGTGAAGATTCCACATAAGAATCACCATGACCTTATCGTTAGACCGTCAGCAAACAACACTTTACTTTCTTAAAACGGTAACCATGCTCAATTTATTTTCTGTTCAGACCCTTGTGGTCTGCAAGCTCACAATATTTTCACTTCCAAAATCCAAGAGGTTGCATGTTGTAAACTTCGAGCTTGGACAGCACACATTCCGTAAGGGGGCCACATGTCAAAAAAAAAACCTTGTTGAGCAAAAAGCCACTAAATAACTTTAGAAATTCGTCCTCATATGATTTATAGATCACAAAATTCGTCGATGAAAACTTGCAAAACAACATATTCTAGCATTGTGTGAAAATTAATGTACACTACAACTGAATTAGAGGAAGGGAAGTGTAAACGAGTCTTTCTTTTGTGCAGTGACCGTTTTCAAACAGATTAAAGTAATCTATTGGTAACAAGATAAGATCTTTTTGTGGATTGCTCAAGCAACATTTTTTTTGTATAGGTAATCACATGATTTCGAGTGCAATTTGGAATAAGCACGAGTAAATTTTTTTAAAGACCTACAAAATTGTACGAGCCCTACGGGCTCGTGCAATTTGTGGTCTTTGAAAAAATTAACAAGTGCTTGTTTATTCCAAATTGCACGAGAAAAATCATGTGATTACGTGTTAATTATATACATGGAAAAATTCGAGATCGCTTATCAAAATTAAGTATAGGCAAAGCGCGCGCATCGAGTGCAAAAATAATTTATTCAAACGATCAAAACAATAATATGCAATGATATCTTCACATCTTTAAGGCGCAAAAAAGTTCAAAGACCGGCTAAACAGTTCAAGGAATTGTTCAGTTTGTGTCCGAATCACTTTCGATGAAATGCAATCGTCGTTTCCGAGGTTTAACCATGTTTGTTTTTAATTTCGGCGTTGGATCGCTCGAGCAAAGTGTTAAGCTGCTCGTAATTTTCGATTTCCTTGGCAATTCCCTTCTCTAAACACCACTTTTTCCAAACCGACAACCAAAAACAGTGCTTTTTACAGTGTTTTCGTTGTTTGAGCTGGTTTTCAGCTGCGGTGGCGAAAGAAAACCTACTTAAAACGCCGGCCATTGTTTTGCTCGCAAATTTTCAAATTTTCAAATTTTGTTGCGACATCCAAGGCTCGCATTTGATTGGCTATCTGTGAGTTTCTTTGATTATTGACCAATCACAATGTCTGATTTGTTACTTTCTTTGCAATTAACTCTCTTCTCCACTGAATTACCTGAAAACTACATCTATCTTAACCGACCAGAACTGAATAATTTTTCCATGTATATTATTACCGGTGAAATTCGTGCACGAATTTTCCCCTAAGGAAAGGGTGAACGGGGATAGTAGATGAACTTTTCCTTCTCGTCTGCTAGCTTTGCATTAACTTTTTTAAAACAATTTTCCATCGCTGGAGTTCAAGTTCTCTAAAATTTTTCCAATTTTTTTTTTTATCACAACTTAACTCGAACGTGAAATGGATAGACATTTTCCCTTTCCTAATTTAAGTTTGTACAGAGGGGAACAGGGAAATTTAGAGACAAGTATCTATCTAGACAGGAGTGTCGAAACGTAGGGGGGATTATTCTTGTAGTAAGTCACTTTTGATGTTGATCGCGACGTTCCGACTGCAATACTGCTAGGAGGGTCTGGATTGGGGGGGTACAAATGTCAGTTTTCAGTTAAAATTTTGGCCATTTATCAGTTCTCAGTTAGATTTTAAGCCATTTGTCAGTTGTCAGTTAAATGAGTTTTAACAATTAACTTGGCGAGTTAATTATTACTTTCAGAACCTATATTTGGTTAAAAAGGCACATGTAGCGTAAACTCGAAAATTAAGTCGATAATTGATACAATAAGAACTCCTTTTTTTTTCAATTCTGGAATGAAGTAATTCCAAGATCTTCCAATTGTTTTTTAGTCTTTGTTTGAAGGGTGTTTAAATAAGTTACAACTCTTCAGCACACAAACATCTGTTTTCCTGCGCGCAACATCGAAACATTCCTTTTCAACCACTTAGCCGGTCAAAATGTTGGAAAGAAGATCGTCAAAAACACAACAAACTTGTGAAGAGTCCTCTGGCACAATATATTGGTTTTATCTTTTGTTTTGTAATGCGTCGATTGCGATTGGCTCCGATGAAATGATCGGAAAGGAATGTTCTCTTGTTTACTTTTCAATTAGGTTATTAGAGATATTTACTGTAGGCTTACCTTAGAAATCCAAGCGAAAATGGGCGCGAATTGGCCGCCCGGATTTAGAAACCGTAATTGGGATAAAGTCTTCATCCTCTCGGTCAGAAGAATCGTTTTGTGAGTCTGTGTCATATTCGTCTGCATATGTTCGCACCTTAGCAACTGCTACTTCAACAAAGCAGTCGTCAACAAATGTGACATCTGTCACATTCCCACCTTCTGAAGTAGCTTGAACGGCTCCTTTGTCGCTACTGAGCCCTGCTGGTTGATCTCCATGGTTAAAATCGTTCCCTAATTCCGCCAACAAGTCCACTTTGGTGTAATCTTAAGCTTATTACTTCGTGTAGACGGCCGGTGGGAAAGCCCTTGCCTTGTCCGTTGTAGTTTCCTCCCGAACTGTCCTTTGCCTCAACGGACGATACTTCTCCACAGATTCTTTCATAGCATCTTTGAGTCGCGGGTTGATCTCTTCTGAAGGTAGAGGTCGCATTAAGTTGACATTTGCAGACTCCGTGCTTGTGTGAGGGACAGGATAGTAGGATTTTTCATGAGTAAACACTTGGCTGCCCATTTTGTTCTATTTTCTATTATCTAAATACTTCTAAGCAAACTAAAATGCATTGGTGTCACGCTTACTGTTGTCTCCTTCGCAGCTGTTGCTTGGTCTCGTCACACAACGCCATCTATTCCTCTTTGAGAGAGAACGCGCTTTGCGTGACGAGGCTAAGTAACGGTTGCGAAAGGGAATACGCTTACTGCCGTTCCTTTAACAGTGAGAAGATCAAAATTATTCGCCTCGAAAGTATAATTCCACGTACTTTTACCACGAAAAGCAAACTGAAACTCTGTTGTATCTCCAATATGCCCTAAACATAGATAAATTGCGATCTCGAATAAGTGAAGATACATTTGAGAGTTGCGTGGAAAATTCACTATTAGTAACATTTAGTTCCATGTGAATCTATTTCAGTGGGGTTGGACAATGCGGTTATAATACGTGATTAAATTCAGGTTGTTTACAAGGAAATGACACGTAGTGGAGCGAAAGCTAAAGTGGCAAAATGGAATTTGATCGGTGCAATAAAATTCAAGCACGTGGAAAATTGGCTAATGTTCATGTGGTGCAATGATTGGGTATGTTCTGACTGGACTTTTCATATTACGTGATGGAATGTAAGTTGTTTGGAGTGTGCGTTGTGGGTAAAGGAGCGGAAAAACATTTTTTAACTTAGAAATGATGCAAAAAGTTAAATGCGAACCTTTCATATCCCGATAAATCTCGAAGTTAGTCGACGAGGTTCTCACGAAGGCCACAAACCATTACACTTATCAAATGGGACCAAAATTTCTGGTTACTATCATTCTTTGTGCACAGCTTCCTGATTCCATGACATCATTGGCAAGAACAAAATACCCAAACGTTGCGATTGGTGCAAGATATCCAAATGCTATGATATGATTGGTGCGAGAAACATACCCCAATGCGGCAATCTGATTGGTGCGAGATACATACCCTAATGCAATGATCTGATTGGTGCGAGCAACATACCACTCTACAAGCTAGCATAGAGTTTTTTTTTTTAAGAAAAAAAAATAACTCAAATATACATTATGGGTACTACTACTTCCTAAATGGATAGGGATAATTGAGAACAAACTAACATCAGAAATAATCGGTTTTAGCTCCTACCTTCAAGCAAACCCTGCAATGTAGCATATTTGGCCTAACCGAAAGGTGCTAATCCTGTTTACTATATTTAACAGACAAATGATCATTTACTTCACAGAACATTTACTTTGGATATGAATTCTCGGAAAAAACATTGCATTTTAAGACTAGTGGGGGGGGGGGGGGGGGGGTTGTTTTGTTTACAAAGGCTGATCCCTAATTAATCCCTACCAAGGCAACTAAAAAATGATCAAGCTTTGAATAACGATACTGTAAGACTTCCTCTCTTGGATATACAACAGTTAAACTCGTGCACAATCAAAATATCGTCTTCATACCGAGTACCACTGAAATAACACCACCCCTGTACGTTCCCATAAGTCAAATCAATTGCCAAGTTCGTTTTTCCGAGAAATCAGACCCAACTATTTCGCAGCGGCTAAACTGGTTGTTTACATCAAATTGACTTTTAGATAAAGAGAACAGTTGTGGCCTGGAAAACACGAAATGCAACAAGCCTGTATTGTTCTTCCCCCAAGACTGCATGTAGGCGACGAAACAGTGAAAGTCGAACAGCACCTTGGTAGTGGTGCATTTGGAATGTCTACAAAATGAAAGACGAAGCAGGCTCTGAACTCTATGCCTTAAAAGACGTCCTTTGCTTAAACGTTTCACAACGTCTTGATGCAATCCGTGAGGCAGAGACACTGCACAAAATCTCTCACGAAAACATCATCGCCATAAAGGGAGCAGGTCGGTTCGTCGACAATCAACACAACTTGCACATGTTGATTTTGACTGAGTATTGCGCGGGTGGAAACTTGAACGAACGACTTGCTCGACCAAGCTCTGAACGAATCAACTGGAAGTGGATGAGTCAAGCTGCTGATGCTGTGGCCTACCTTCACTTAAACGGCATGATTCACCGCGACCTAAAACCGAAAGACGTACTTTTGAACAGACGTGGAAATGTTAAACTATCCGACTTTGGCCTGGCTCGAGAGTATATCGCACCAAGACGAGTTGACGCGCGAAGAAACGATGGCTCGTGGATGCAAATGTTCGTATAATACTACATGGACTCCGAAGTTGGCACGCTGCACTGGTTAGCTCCTGAATGTTTCACGGGTCATTACACAGAAAAAGCCGATGTCTTTTCCCTTGGCGTGCTGTTTTTTGTCATCTTGGAACGGGATTACGTAGGAAGCAACGGAAAAGTGTATTATGGTTTATTCAAAAGTATTGGAAAAGTTTGCCTCGGGTTTGTAATGGCAAGGTACAATCCAGGAACTGACGTCGCATTTTCCAGACGCGCACAGGGCTCCATTGTCATTAGACAGTCAGCAAACAACACTTTAAAAAACGGTAACCGTGCTCAATTTATTTTCTGTTCAGACCCTTGTGGTCATAATTTTTTCCACTTCCTAGGTCTAAGAGGTTGCATGTTGTTACTTGGAGCTTGGGCAGCACACATTCCGTAGGGGCTACATGTCAAAAAAAAAAAACCTTGGTGAACAAAATCCACTAAATAACTGAAAAAATTAATCCTCGTAGATCACAAAAGTCGTCGATGAAAACTTACGAAACAATATGTATAAACAAAATACCAGCATTGTGCAAAAAGTAATGTACACCACAACTGAATTAGAGGAAGGGAAGTGTAAACGAGTCTTTCTTTTGTGCAATTACCGTTTTCAAGCAGAGTGAAGTAATCAATAGGTAACCAGGTGATAAGATCTTGTAGGGGAGCAATCGTCGTTTTAAACGAAAGCGTGTGGATTGCTCAAGCAACATTTTTTCCAGTGAAATTCGTGCAGGAATTTTTCCCTTAAGAAAAGTGTGAACATGGTTAACAAATGAGCTTTTCCCTCTCATCTGCTACCTTTGCATTAACTTTTTTAAAACTATTTTCCATCGCTTAAGTTCAAGTTCTCTAATATTTTCCTTACTACTCCCGAACCTTTTCCACGGTTCACCCTAACCTGTTTGCGGTAGATTTTAAAGGAAATGAAGAACGTTCTCATAAATTCACATAATTTGTTACTGTAGAGGTAGCATTACTTTACTGATGTGATAACTAAGGCAGCTAAATTTAAGTTAAGGTTACGAAGGTAAACGGAAATGTTCTTTTCAGTCATATGCAGCTTCCATGTATACAAAGTTTGGTAATAAATGGTCTTCACATTTCGTTTTAGACTATACTGACCTTTAAGATAGAATTATGTTTAGGTGATAATTTTGCTAGTCTTTCCTAGAACTCTTTACGGATTCATTCTCATAAATGACACAGTCCTTTGTGAGAAACTCGAAAAGGTTTGCAGCACAGACTCAACAATACAAACGTCGACTTCAGTTTTGATAATAACCTGAATTATTTTTTAATACAATTTAACAATAGACATCGAGTCGATTGAGTCACGATCTTATGGGAGTTACACCAATACTTTAAACTAATGCATTTGGATTCTATCTACTTAACAATTTTCAGAACTCATCTGGGACCATTCTGAAAAATACATCATAATAACAGGAAAAACAACTCAAAAAACATAACACAGAGAGCCCAAGTATTCCTGAGGTTTTCTCTGCGAAGTACTGGTATCCAGTCCGGCATGCATTGAGTTATTACTTCATACTAATGAAACCAGGAGCCTACCAGGGTAAGTTCCGTACGTAAAAAATAAATGCTTTTATTTCTAGCACAATAGCTGTACATTCGTGTAACAAAATGGCGCTTTTTCCGGAGTGGAAATCAGAAGGGCAGTCAGTAAAGTTGAATTTTTCCTTAAAATAATTTTAAAATTTAAGTAATAGCGATAAGAAGTAACCAATAATATATATAAAAAAGTAAGTATAATATATACAAAAAATAAAAATTAAAAAAAAAAGTGATAATGATAAAAATAATTATTTAAATTTAAATGCCGTGAATTCCACTTAAGCATGATCAAATTCGCTTTGCAGGAATAAAAAAACTGATGTTGCTCATTAGGACTGTTGAAAGTATTTCCATGGTTGCTTCTGTTATTTATGCATTCCAATATCTTATATTTACTTCTTTATCCTCCAAAGGAGAGAGCAAGTCTTTATCTACATCCTTTACAGTGTTAATGGTCAAGTGTAGAATCCTTAAACCTCGTAAGTTCCTCTCAGTCTTTTGATATTACACCAATACTGTAGTCTTCTTCTTAGATAAAATTTAAAACCAGTGTTCACATCCAATCAATGTACCAACGCACAGTTTTGTACCACATGTCTATACTGAATCATTGAAGAAATTATAAGCTTTCAGTTTATTCGATAAATTGTCTATCCAATCATACCCACACAGCAATTTCAGCCTCTTTGATCAAATTAATTAAACAGTCCTAACTAATCAAGCACTTGTTCCTCATTCTCGGCCTACGCACTTTCCTTCCTTTTGAACGCTTGTCGTGGATATGCTCCTCATCAGACCATTGCAGACGGATATTTGTGGCGATTTCCTCAATTCTGTAGTAAATTTCTTCGGCTCTGGGTCTTTCCTGCGGGACATAATTCAGAGTATCTATTATCAAACCTCGGAATCCATTCTCCTCGCTCAGCTTGTGATCATGAACGAACTCGGTCATGGCCGCTGGACCGAGTATTGCCATCGCATACCCGAGGCCAAGTTTTACTCCACCAGAAACCTTCACGAATGCGCCGTACCATCGCCTCTCGTTAGCCGAGTAAGCGAAGTCTCGAACAAGGATTGCGTTGAATAGAACACCGAGGGAGAAGATGTCTGCTTTCTCCGTATAGTGACATGTGAAAACCTCAGGAGCCATCCAATGAGCAGGGCCGGTACCTGACTGCATGTAATATTGCGCCAACCCACAGTTTGAAGCCGACAGTGTTTCTACTCTTTTCAACGCAAGAAACTCTCTCGCTAAACCAAAATCACCAAGTTTTAAGTCCCTCTTGTTGAGTCCGTGAGCATTACGTTGTCTGGTTTAACATCACGATGAACGATCTGAAGCGAGTGCAAATAGCTCAGCGCACTCGCTATTTGGCTAAAGCCATTTAAGAGTTTTCTCCTCGCTGCTTGGTTGCGACAGCCTGTCGTTTAAATTCCCACCAGAACAGTATTCCGTTAAGATCAGCACGTGAAATCCACCGCGTGAGTCTTCATACTGGTCGGCAGCTATAATTTTACAATAAAATCGTGCTTCACACGACGAAGCGTTTCCACTTCGCTGATTGCTTTGCCAATTGAAGCCGAATTCGAACACACTACATCTTTCAATGCATAAAAGACAGTTTCACTCGCAAGTAAGTCTCTTGCCTTGAAGACCACGCCAAAAGCTCCGCTACCAAGCTTATTTTGTATCTCGAGTTCGATCCCTCTACGACAAGAACCTGACCGACGGGAACGAGGACACAATGCGAGAAGACATAGTTTTGTTTCAGGCACTTGACTGCGAGCGAAATGTATAAAACCATTGAAAAATTCAATATCGCTTAAGAAGTTTATTATTAGTTAATCCAATATAACAGGCCTGTTTATTTCGAACACAAAAGAGATATTTAACTTCGCTGTTGAAAAGCAGAAGTAATATCACCGGTGTTTAAGAAAAATCAAGAAAAAGGTGTTACGAACCACAAACAAAGCACATGGAAAGTTACCTTACCAAAAATACACTCAGGAAACTTTCATTCGTTTTCTCAGTAAAACTGAATACATTTTCACAAAACTTAACTTGCATGTAACATAATTTTTAAAGGTAAATCATCACTACAAAATGATCAAGAATTTGGCAAATTCGGAAAACAATCCTAAACAAAATTACAATTTCGACCACGTTTTCGATTCTGCCCAATTCAACATCTTTATATGACGCTCTTGAAAAATCGCTTGAATATATGTAATATTAAGAGTGAAAACCTAAAATAATAAAAGCATAATTTAAATTTTTCTGTCGTCTTTAAAGCTTTAACAAGATAGTGCGATTTACTGAAGCTTTTTCTTGTAATTTACATCACAAATAGTCTCCAAACGCTCCTCATTTCCTAACTGGTACCCAAGGCATTAGCGCGCGAATTTCAAGAAGACTGGTGCTACTCGCGCGGGAATTACAATGTGACGTCACCTTAGAAACAACAGGGCAGATTTGGGCAAGACTGAGCCGGCAAACGCATAAAATGTCTACACCACGAGGTAATTTAACGGCCGTTAAAATTACGATCTAAATCTTAATCCTGTTACATTCTTAGGGATTATCTAGGTTCGATTTGCGTCAGATATACTAAAGTTCTAATTTCTTTACGTCAGGTGGTGAAGTCCGATGTCAAACAACTCACGTGCGATCACAACTGGATCTTTCAACATTGCTATAAATTCAAATAACGTACACGCGATTTTCATCACTCACGAGATCATGTTTCGCTAGTGACCCAAGCAAACCGATTCCTTCCGTCGAAGTACGTTCAAAACAAAGAATCAACCCACGCAATTTGACAAGCCATGTGCGTTTGCGGGTGTCACATTGAAGGACCATCATTTAAATCGCCTCTGATCACTGTCTCGGATTTTCATTCCACTTCTACTTCAATATTTATTTCGTGAAATACGGATCACTTCAAGTGATTCCATTCATATGATAACTTTTAGAGACAGCCTATCAAGGAAAACAAACCTGCCGAGTTAATCATATTCTAAACAGGTTCCATGAACTCTAATTATAGACCTCACACAATCTATAAAGCCTACAAACACGCGTAAGACGATCTTTTATTTAAAAAATTTCTGGTAATTCTCCCGCCGAATAAAACAGACTAAACCGTGACCTTTTAAGGTAACAATTAAGTTCAAGTTTTTTACATAAATTGTTTACGAACAATCAATTCCTTTTGGTACCGGAGCGGGTTAAACGCTGACTCACGCTGTTGGAAAATCGCTTAAAATGGCTATAATTAAAAAGGGGGAGACGAATGAATTAATGTTATTGTCTACGTTATGTTAGTATTTCCATTTTTTTTACTTATTCTTGGGAAATTGCTCCATTTCGTTTACGGTAATTCAAATTATACAGAGTCTCCTAATTCGGGAAAATGACGAAATTATTGCAACAACATTGTTGCATTAATAACAAACTAGTTTGATTTCTCTTGCACTTGAAAAAAATAATTTTCACAGGTCGATGTCAGCTTTCAAAATCCCTCAGACTTTACAAAAATGCCTCTCATTGCGGCCAAGAAAACAATTTACAATCTCTTGTCACGATTTAGAGCTAAATTGCGATGTTTTGTTTGGGGATGACGCGGTGAATTTTGACAACCACAAAGCACTTTAAACATGAATGAAATTCAATTTAACTCAGTGTAACGGATCGAGTTCATTTGAATAATATGATTATTGTATCACGGCTATATTTAAAACTGCCGTCCACGAACAGACAATTAGAGGGTACAGTTGTGTAGAGGGTATATCCAATCATTGCTATTGACAATTAGTAAGTTGGAAAGGTAAACGCATTTCATGGTGACGTGTCAGATTTTTACGCTTAATAGATCACAAAGCAAAATCTACGCTTTTGTTTTGATTTTCACCAGATCGATCGTGCTAGTCTATGGAAGGTCTAAAAATTACTCCCTTTCATTTACTCTCGTCGTCAAAAACCTTGCAAGTATCTGGTTTTAACCACATAGAAAACAATGACCTTGTTTCAGATTAAACACACTTTTTCAGAAGCTTGATTCGACGTAAAATAAATGTTAGATAATACAAACATCGTTATGAGCTACGAACAAAGTTCAGCTCTTGCTTTGTTTCATTCGATCCGAAATGAAGTCAAAATTTACTAGCCATATTGTTGAATCACCAGAAATAAAAAAATTCCGCATAATTTAAGAGTTTTTCGTGCAATAAACCAAAAGCCTGGTCGACCTGACGAAAACTTGTCACGGTAGCTAGTAGGGGATTCCCCGTTCGTCATCGACCCTCAACGTCGTCTTGACAACCGCCCGGACATGTCCCTCGTTACGGCCTGTGATTGGTCAGATAACGATCAACTTTTTTTTGGAAACATGACATCATCAAATAAATAAATGTTGCGAGCAAGCATGGTGCAATCATGAACCCCTCTTACACTGGTTTTAACCGGTCGCTTGGGTGAAAGCACCTCACTTTATCTCCAGCAATCGAAGTGAAAGCACGTGTTTTGATTAAGTCTTCACTTTATACCCGCGAACAAATTTCAGTCCTCCATCTCATCTTCTATTTCGAAGGCTTCGACGCTGATTCAAAGTAAATCAAGAACTGTCAGTACACAGGTGATCCTGTTGTTTCGTTCTCACCTGATTTGAAAGCCGCTCATCCCACAGAATTTTACACTCGCCAATAACAGTCTTACCAAGATGATGCCTACGAACGACAGCAACGATATCTCAAAGCTGAGTTTCACTGGCGATTCATTGTTGAGCGACCTTGATCTCTCGAATTTAGAGCAGATCCAGCCGTTCTGGTTTATTCCTGCAGAGGGAAAGGAGGAACCCGCGCAAAGTGTTCCAGACACCACCCTGGACTTAGATGAAATGCCCGCCTGGCTGAGCGAGACTTATTCATCGCGCAATTTTCCAGAGGACGATGTAGCCTCAGAGATATCAAATCCAAGCCCATCTCCATCTGAGTGCAGCTCTACGAGCACAGGATACTTTTTCAGCACTGAAATGAGCGCTAAAGAAGCTCTGTTTACAGAGAAAGAGCTACGAGAGCTCTCTGTCAAGGAAATCAACAATCTTTTGAGAAGCAGAGGGCTTTCGAAGGAAGAAATCGCTCGGGTAAAACAAAGGCGAAGGACATTGAAAAACCGAGGCTATGCCCAGCATTCAAGGATGCGAAGAATCGAGACCAAGAATAACTTGGAAGTCGAGCGAGACAGTCTTCAAAAAGAGCTAGAAGGCCTAAAACAACAGGTAGCTACAGCTCTCCGCGAGCGAGACTTCTTCAAGAACAAATATGTAAAGCTCCTGTCACATGTAACGAAGCTGCCAGGAAAGGTACTGAAGATCAATCCATTGGAAAAGTGAACTCAGGGACTTAGGAAAACTTGAATTCAAATACTTTGGACACGTACAAGTGCTTGCTCCGAAAGCATTGGGCCATGATCGACAACGAGTTTGACTGTTTTCACCGGACAAATTAAGTTTTCTTAGCAATATCTTAGCTTTGAACCCGTGAATTTAACATTGATGTTTGCTTGTTGTTATCTTAGAGAGTTTTTTAGCCTTCCTTGGCAATTTAGCTCGATAGTTAATGAGATGGTTTGAAACTACCAAAACGTCGAAGAACGTTTTCGAATGTTGCGTGACGTAATGAGTTATTTTTATTTATGAAGTAAGCCGCTGACATAGGCCAATCTAATGTACGGGCGGCTTGTGTACATAAATGGTTATTCTTTCTAGACCAATACAAAAGAAGGAAGGAAAACAAAATCCAAACAAAACAAAAAATACAGAAATAACATTTGAAAAAAATGTTGGAAATGTTATCTAATTAAAAAAAAAAAAAATGTAACTAGTTTCATTGTATACCCTCCACAAGTTGATGTGAATTTTTGGCAATATCAAGGGAAGTATTTTTCCAGTACCTCAGCCAAAGCAACAGTTTTTGTCAAGTAGTGTATAGTGAAAAAAAAGGAAAACATTTTTTGATATGTTATGTAAATACATTAACAAATTGGACAGGCTGCTATGACAGTCAGACTCTAGTTTTTCCATTACCTGGTAGTGAAGAAACATTTTCTAAGATTCTTTGGTGTTTTGTCTAAAGCTGTGTAACATTTAATGTTGAAATAAAATCCATGTTGTAACTTATCCT